CAAGCTGAACTCTGGAATACCTTTGCAGCTAACTTAATCATATACACCAAATTTCAGCAAAATTAAAGGTGGTACTGTTAAAGGGATCATCCCAATTTTAACAAAGTCTCAGAAATAAAAGTCCTTGTACGTATGAAATTTAAGCGCCAAAATATGGAGGAATGGTGTATTTACCTTGTCTCAAAATATTGAGTCGTTTGGACGTGAACGTCAAAACCGCTATCTGACTTGTAACCCTTTTAATCTATTGCCGTTTCTATAGAGGTCTATACAGTGCATGGTGAAAGGTAATTTCACCAACACGTTATTTTTTTTAAAATAAAGGTCTGGTTTTATCCAGACACTGTATAATACAGTTTGGGACAGCGGTCTCCATTTCCAGATAAAGACTGACGAGTTTAAGTTGTTTGAAAACGTATCACGTATATTGCCAGGCCCTAAGGTAGAGGATTTTAAGGGCTTTTGACACAAAAATATGCAATTTATTCTCCAAAATATAATCGAGACTGGCCCTTTAAAGATTTCATGTCGCTTGTCAATACTACTATTTCTGTTTGGTGCGTTATGATATTATATCCAAATATACTAAGAACTCACTGGATTTCTGTATCAAAACCCTTTCGTGCATAGAAGTTTTGTCGTTTGTCAATCGTCCTCCAACTAGAGACAGTTATGTGGTATAGGAAGATATAAATATGATTTAACATGTACACGGTATTATCCAGGACAATTTTAAACAATATGGAGTATTTTATCTCAATAATTTGCTTGTCCCTATGTTTATTTTAGGATTGGGGCGGAGGAGAGGGGACACGAGGTTAAACCCGTGACCCTTGTACCTCATCTTAAAAAAATGTGTTCAAACTCACAACATTCATACAGACTTTATGACGACGAGGTTTATAGTCAAACCCTTCAACCACCCCAACGCACGTAATACGAGTGCTAAAAACGAAATATGAAATAAAATGGGGTTTAACGTCCTGCTCCGACTGGGCTAATGAAGACGGATATACGCCATACAGTGTGCTATAAGGGAAATTTTGTCCAGACAGTGGCACTAAGGCATACTCTTATATCGAATTCCAACTTCCAAGGGATCTTTTACGTGCACGCCCATGTGTACACCGAATTATTCACTGTAGACATAGATGATCTTTCAGATTTAATCCTAAACCCCACCCCCATTCCATCATCCAACAATTATAGGATGAAGGTTTTTGAAAATCATATCTGTGGTCTGTCGATGCAGTTGATACATTTATCATAAATGTATTCCGTTCATAACTATAAAGGGATAATTCGATTTTACTTGACTTCAAACATCCATACCCAAACAAGAAAAATTCGCTTTGAAGGGCCTAAGCGAAAATAAGAAGATGCTGTTGGACATCGGGAGAAAAAAGAAGTTTCTACTGCCAGCACCCCACCCAATTCGCCATAAGTTACAGAATCTGTGCAACCGCACGGTTCGCCCACTCCGTAACATCAGCACTGACCAGATGATATGTGAACAAAATGGCGATGGCGTGGTGGCCCATTAAAAAAAAGTAATAAAAAAAATAATTTATCTGTTGCTGTTTATAAACAATTGAGAACATATTTATAATAAAGGAAATACCACCACAAAGACGAGTTCAAAGTCTTATTAAACACATTTTCAGTATCAAGGTATGCACATTCAATTCGATTTATCACTTTGAGCAATAGATTCATTGTTATTATCTGACTCCTTTTGAAAATTTAAAAGCATAATAACATCTTATCAGCATTGGTAATGCAACTGTATCTTTATCACGGTTGTACTTCGGACTTTAGGACTCTGAACACAAATACTACTCCAGGCTTGCAGTCGAAATATCCTTGAACCACAGATCTAGATACCTTTTCCCAGACGCCTTGTCTAATATATTCTTCAATCAAAGCTTCGAACTTTTCTTTATGATCTGTACTTAAACTTAAGATGTATTCTGTACAACTAAAGCATGCATATCCACCTAAAACAGATCATATTCTAGAAAGATCATTTAGATAACAGAGTGTGTGATCCGGTTAAAAATATGCTTTGTCATTGTCTCTTTAATATTCTACATAAACCAGTGATTGGTGTCCCATATAACTCGTTTCCAATCGCTAAATGTCACTAAAGGATTAATATTCTGCATGTTAAACACAAATAATGCTGTGTTTAAAGGCATATTTCGTACACATAAAACAACTTCTCACAAATCCCAAATTATCCTATCAAAATATTATAAATACAATCTTGCTAACTTTTTTTCCTTAAAGATGCATTATGTATGAGCTAAATTTGCGTAATGCAGATCTTCCGTTTTGCCTCAAGTGTTGTTATATAAATCATTAATTAGACGTTTATTAGCTAAGCCCATAATCAACGCTCTAGCTGACAGGATTTAAACAGATTGTTAGTAATTTATGATTTTATTTAAAACGGTGGATAATCGAGACTTTTTTTATTATTGTAACAACGGTAGTAATGACAATCGAGACTACAGTGTGCTTCTAACGGCAATAACTCCAGTCAAAATAAAGTAATTTGACTGAAACTTTCAACATGCTCCCTTTTCATTATTCATTTCGTAACTAGTATAACGAGAACTGTCAGCTCTTTATCTAAATTTTACATAATTCATTTTTAATAATTCTCGGAAATTCTGAGTATATTACTGTAATGGAGACTTTGCTGATCGCAGAAACTACGAACGTTGTTGTGCACCCAATTATTTAGTTTAATATGTCAAATACGCCTAATATTAATCTACATCTGTTACATCAGTCTAGAGTCACATGACCCGCTTTTATCACACTGTTATCATGAAATGGACACTCTCACCTTGCCAAGACTAAAACAATTATCACAACGTGTGAACATTATTTTAAAAGTACACACTCAAGAAGACAAAACCTCAATCGTGTATTAAATTGAAATATTATATGGCGATCGTGTTTTAATCGATTTAATGCTCTACAAAGTTGATTTTTGGCTTGAAAATAAATAAATGTTAAATTATGTGGCTTGCCATATGAATAAATGTTAAAATATCAGTTTATATAACATTGAAGGCCAAAAGAAAGGCTTACCATAGGCAAAGTTAGTTCTTACATAACACATCTTTAAGGTTAGTGTATTGGATGACCAGAAGCATTTTTTGTAGTTCGACTAAACAAAGTTTGTACGTCCAACACAAACAAACGAAGTTGTAATCCTTTATAATCAATTCTATATGCCACAGAGTGAAAATTTATTTCAAATAATAGTATAATCAATTATTTTTACAATAACATATTTTTACCTGGTTTGACTACTCTGATAAATTCTTTTAACGCTATGGACGGCATCAAACCTGGTCCAAATCCTCCAGCACTAACCACACAATCATATTCGTCTGAAACAAATACAATAGTCATAGCGGGTCCTACTTTTCACAGACAATCACCGAAACGAACGTTTTATGTCAATATCGCCTTATGTATTGGGTAAAGTGAACAATAAGGAAATATATGTTAATATATATTTTCGGCACACGAGTAGCCAAATGATTACATAAAACATTGACCAAAAAGAGCTCTTTCTGGTGATTAGCAAGACCGTTTCTCAGTATTTCAATTATTCATATTTTTTATGAAATTATTTAAATTTTGGATGTGATGTGTAGAATATATCTTTCCTGATAGGTCACTCTTTTTCAATACATTGGTCGATATTAACAAAAAACGTTCTTGTCCCAATCTGACCTAGTTTCTGTCGAATGGACGTTAAACCCCATTTCTCTCTCTTTCTCTCTTGTCGATTCTAATAAGACTGATCACGGTTAATAAGTTTAAACCTTCCTCAGTTAGAGACCAAAACTGAGGAACAATCACTGTTACAGATTACACACTGTGGAATGGTGGCCGTTACAGTAATGAAATGGGGTTTATTGTCCTACTGTTCTGCAATTACTCGGCTAATGAAGACGGGCATACGCCATGCCGTGTGCTATGAGGGAAATCCGGACCACCCAGGTGAACTTTCTCGGCCAACGCAGGGATCAAACATGGGACCCCCAGGTAAGCGAACCAACGTCCTACTCACTGAGCCACCGTGGCCGTTACAGATCAAACACCCAGTAATGATTATCGTTAGAGATCAGATACTATGCGATGATGGTCATTAGATATCTAACGCTGAAAAACTACAAGCGACAAAGACTTAAAACCGAAGATTTTAAACATCGGATACCTTAAAATGATCACCGTCAGAGATCACACACTGCTAATGGAGATTCATATAAACAAGAATACATACTCTAAATTTCCATAATAAGAGCAATTTCAAGTATTACAGGATTTATTTTGGGGAGTTCGTCTAGCTCCAAATCCGAATTAGGCTTTTATGTTAATTTATGACATTATCTGAAGTTTTATTTTTAAATGTTTAGGTTAGGCATGTCTTTCATCTTAATACAAAGATATATGAAAGTTCTGGAAAGAGTATACTATACCCCGTCACAGTGTAATTACTGTAGTTCAACAAGCTGAAACAAATTCAAGAATGAGAAAGAAATGAAGTTTAATATTTCGGTAATCCTGAGACGGACATACGATTATTAGTTTATATAGGGGTTGCATGGGTTCACGTGTGCAATGCTACGCTTTATTAAATTCTGTCCTGTACATGGGTGATCAAAGGTATTCGTACCAACCAAACTGAAAAATTTCGAGATCCTGTATGTCCCCCGACTGAGATTTGAACCAGGGTGAGTCCAGTTCCTTATAGCAGGGAAAGAAAGCTGAAGTTGTCTCCATAAATTTAACATTAACAACGGTTGCATATATAAGTTTTACCTGTTTCTATATCTAATCGTCTTTCATCAACAAAATCTACCAAATATTTTTCATACAGGTTAGTCTCCATAGCAATTTTCTTAGATGCTGGGCTTGGATCGACTGCATCAATAAGTTTAAAACCATGCTTCCTTAACTAAAAAAGTTGGGATGTCTCATTAAATAACGGTATGATATAAATCATACAGAGCATTGGTTATTAGCTAAAGTAAAAGTTTAAAGATTTAGCTTAGTAGACGTGAGAAAGAGCAAATTAAGTTGTAGAATATTAATTTAAAAAATTGAAATATTAAATATTAAGGAAATGTAAAACATAAGAGCAAATTAAGTTGTAGAATATTAATTTAAAAAATTGAAATATTAAATATTAAGGAAATGTAAAACATAAAAACCGAATGGACAAATAGCTGCAATGGAGAATCTGTCCCGCGTTTTTTTTTTAGATAGAATTACCTGTCCCCGTAGGGTCATATCCGATCAGGTGAGTTCTTCCGGTTCCTCCGGGGTTCACTGAAATCAATCCCATCTTCCATGCTAGTATTATATTGTGAAATAGGTGTTCATTATTACAAAAATAAAAAAATAAAGATTTGGTATCACAATATCAATATAAATGATAATTTGCTGAATTGGTTCAACTAGCGTCAACATCAAAGGGAGCTCTGTTAAAATACTCTGTCATACTGTCAAATCTTTCTTAAGTAAATGGTTGTCGGTATGGCTAGGTTTTCGGTATAAATAAGTTGTCCATAATATGTATAGGTTTTCTGTATGGATAGGTTTCCGGTTTACTCACATCACGTGAACTTGATTTTCATCCCCTTTCGACTCATTTTAGTCAATTCCACAGGATCTCTGTAAGGTCAGAGTTCTACACAGTTTTTGCAGGTCCCGGGGATCTATCTAATCCTACGGACTAGACAAATACACCCTTAAAACAACCCCACCGTTTCGTTTCGAAATATTCAATATATACCATAAATAAATAACACATTGTCTCCAAATCTAGATCTGTATCGGCATTTTCTTGGACTTATTCCGATAAAAAAAATATGATTACTATTATGACCATGCACCGTCGTAGGCAGATTTTAATAGCTGTAGTATACACACTAGTATACTTTATAAAATGAAATGCGAAAGAAATAATATAACTTACCCTAATGGCAACTAATCCAGTACCAGCTGCCATGTCCAGGATTCGGATCTTTTCTTTGTTCTTCGGGAACACCATTGCAACAGTATCGGCAGTTACCTGGGGACCTGAATAGCACAGGCTTGCAGTATCCTTCAGTGGTATAAAGATCAATTACGATCAAAGACAATATAACTGAAGACTTATCTTTTAAATGAAATTGGTATTTAAAGTCTTACTTGTCTGCTCCAGTCGATCTAACGAAGACAGTTATACGAAATGAACTGATCTTTGAAATACAATTATGTTCAAAGTCAATATAATTTATGTCTAGTACTATGGACCGTAACCACTGTCGTCACTGCCATCTTGGAATTGTGATTAAAAGTCCGACAAGGAATACGCATGCCTAGTTTTAATATTGTCGGAGCCGTAAGCATTTTTCGAAGAGTGTCATCCCCCAACAGAACAAAATGAGTAACGCTTGGAGCCTAGTTCCTGTCCAAAAATCAATTTAAACAGTCTAAATACCAGCAGTGGTGGGCTGTAGAGAAAATATAAAACACAATATGATCTTCATTACATTTTTGCCGTTTCTGCTTGTGGACGTTCTGCATGTACATTCAAGAGTTATGGAGAAAAAAAATCATAGTTTCTTAATCAGAAGCTTATTTCTTTGATGGGCCAAAAATAGAGTATTGAATTGGGTAAATTATTTCCCTTTAATAGCAATGAAGACAGGGATACGAAACGATAAATGAATTTAATAAACATACCTGTTCATATGTTCCTTTAATAACCCATTCATCATATGTTTTAGCATTTTGTTCTGGTGTTCTAGATTCTCTAGACTTAATTGAATCGAGATTTGTAGCTCCACCTTCTCGTTTGAACATAATTTCGTATTCAGTATTCTTGTCTGTCACTGATAGCAATCTGGACTGGTTATTAAGATGGGGCATGGTCTATATATATAGATAAAAATACAAAGAACAATATGTTGTAATTTCGTTGTTCGTGATCAATAATGACGATAGCATTTTATCAGACTTGCTTATAAGCATAATGTTATCTATAAGTACAGCTAAGGACTTCAGTACTATTAAAGGAAAACTTTTAAAAGTTTTTTGTTTGTTATGAGATAACAATTTCAAATATATCAAATAAGATCCAATACATGCAGACTGTTCTTAAAACTAAATTATATAGAATATCGATAATCGATTTCTGTTACTATGGTTACCAGGTACGAAAGAAGAGGAATGGTCTTAAATGTCTTTCGGGGGATGGAATGAGTGGGTCTGCTTCATCTTCTATTAGTGTTTAACGTCCGCTTCCATCGAGAGTGATATCGCAGACAAATTGTCTTCCTTTACAATGCTCAGCGCACGCTGCCAGAACTTGTTCTGTTTACTTACAGAATAATTTTTTACAGTGTAGGCACGTGACTTTGTTATGTTATCGTCCGTCTAAAAACATGTTGATTGGCGGTGGGTGGGGAGGGGATGGGGCGGGGGGCGTAATTTGATTAGCTGACAAATGAAAACGACTATTCATTTCTGATCAACGAGCTGTTTTAGGAATCATGACTCATTTTCTTTCTTTAACACAAGTATATTACTTCATTAATAAATAAAGGTTTCGGAACACAAACTTACATTCTGCTGAGCCATCTATACTATTTAAATCGGAGATTTCTAAAACCCTCACCACAGAACTTTGTGATTTCTTTGGTTGCTTAAAATTGACTTCAAAATAAAATATTTATGTAAATAAAAAAAGTTCTGTATTGTACATATCTAAAAAGAAAAGACAAGTATGGGCGTAATATCAACCAGGAACCGGGTATAACGTCATCACCGCCAGGAATTGTGACGTCATATCAAAAATCAAGTCATGTGCAATTGTCCAAGGACCACTCAAGTTTTAGATCGATCGCATAACAATTGGCGGAGCCATAGACCTATTTAGAACAGCGTCGCGTCCAAATAGAACAAGAAGATGTGTAGAATTTGTTTTCTAAGAATGGGGAACATTAAGTTGTTTATTGCTTAATATTGTAAATTTAAATTGTTGTGTAATTGTATAATTTATTAAAGATAAACAACCATCACAACTTTGTGGAAAACTCGTTTTGGGTAGTGATTGATTCATTCTGAAAACTCGGGTGACAATGAAAATTTTCGCCCCTCCAGCAACAGAGGTTGGCCCCCTATGGCTATAGCTCGGTGAGCAGTTCCCGATAAAACATACAGTTTACACTCGAGTTTAACATTTTCTTGCGCACTTAAGCCATCGTAACGTATTAGTAATACTGTTCCAAATATTGTTCCCCCACTCCATCTTTCAGAATTCACCTAGCTGCATGTACATGTATGGTAATAAGTAAAAGACTAGTCAGAACTAGATCACGTCATATTTCATAGACTATCATATTACTAATATCCACCAGGCCAATTCAGATTTAATCAATGTAAATTCGGTTAGACACCTTTATACCAGTGAAAATAAATTATTTTCTTATTTGTATTAAATACTGATATAAGTTGTTATATATTATGTCAAATAAATATTCCATAAAGCCTGCTATAACATTATTGTAGGAGCCATTGTGGTTAAGTGAGTAAGACGCTGGCTCGCTAGTCTGGGGGTCGCGGGTTCGCTCCCGGTGTTGGCCGAGAAAGTTCATCTGGATCTTCCGACCAGGTTTCCCCTGGTCAGAGGTGCAGAACGATGGGTCTGACAAGGACAGTATTCTAGCCGTTCGGAACTGACGAAAAACCAATCAATATTTTGCTCGTTGCTATACGCGTTAGGCCAAAGACAGTTGTGTTGTGTGCTGTACGGAAATATGTTTAATCGACAGGTTAAATGTCGTTATGCTAAACGAAATTTGGCATACTTCAGTATATGATTATGTAATCAACGCCTTGTACATGTATATCATTATTACGTTCCAGTAAACTACTGCACTACATAAATTAGAGTGATAAGAAGTGTCCTTTTATCTTTTTATTTGTAACTGTTACCGTGATGGGGCAAAAATGTGTTTAATGGAAAACTTCCATCAACAAAACACGCGGACAATGACCTCGCCACGTCGTTTCTGCGACCAATCGGATCGCGCCACTTTTCTGCGCCGATGTCGGCCTATTTCTGTTTTTCGGACACAAACGTCAGAGAATGAGACCATATATCATAGAAATTTCATTGAGTAATTATGAAATGAAATCGATCGCGGTTTACATTTTATATACTATTATTCTGTACTTAAGACCTCACGCAATAACATTTGTGGAAACCTTGTTTTAGTTAATGATTGATTCATTCTTAAAATTCGGGTGACTCAGAAAATGTTCAGGCAAATAGCCCCCCCCCCCAAAAAAAAAACAAAAAAAACCCAAACAACTGAGATAGTTTGCTACGAGGAAAGCTTTGCCCGAACGGCAAGTCAACGTGTACACGGGACCTTATTTTCCATACTAAAGTCTACGCTGTTCCTTGCAACTCTAATCGACAAAAGCAGTAATTTAACGTAATATACAGTGAAATAGTTCATCAATTAATAAGTGAAGTCTTAACTGAACACACTAACCTGTATTACTCTCACGTCAACTGTCAGAATCAAAGATGACCACTTCTGTCACTGAGTAGTTTTCACTCACAAACAAATCGTTTGGGACCGGTTTGAATAAAGTTAGCCAAGCATGGAATTACAAATACGCCAAATACTCTCCAATGAGTACGATCTGCTTACAATACAACAGCGACTGTATATGATGGTCTACAGTGTGTATTGGTATCTATTCAATAAATAAACTAGTGTGTAGTGATACACATGAAGGAAAGATTCATTTGCATGTGAGACAACAATATGTGACAATAGTTTCACATTTCTATAAAATCAATAAATGAAAAAGTAGGACACCAAAAAATAAAGCCAGAGCACGTCCATAGAAACGTCGCTCAGTAACACCCAGTAATTGTATTCCACAGACCTAGGGTGACCCGCGCAGTGAAAATTTTCTCTGCAGAAAGTTGGACTCTTCACGGAGAATGTGCCGTACTCCTCGCAGTGTTTCGTTTGATTAGAGCTAATCCTACTAAACACTGCTTTAACGGAAGTAAATTTCTGTTCCAAATTATGACTGGTCAATAGTCCGATTAACAACCAATAGCTAACTGCGTAACAATATCGTTACATTTTAAACAAAGCCCCAAATTGTACCAAATAATATGTTTACATAACGTTACGTCACGACTCACGATTTTATTATGTCCAATATTCTTAACCAGTACATAGCAGAATATTGCAGAAAAACTAATTGCGTGACAAACGAGGCTATCAACACGAATACAATGTAAACAATACTGTATGGAGACGAAGAATACTTTAACCGTTTTAATACCTTAAATCACTGTCCAAAGTTTTAGGGAAGACCCCAGATTAAACGAGGGGCTGTCATGTTGCTGTATTTGGGATCGATTTGATTGAACGGGAAGAATACACACACTCCCTCAAAAGCTTGAGTATCAGAAGCCAATCCAGCAATGGGCAGACAGGGATTTCTCGGACCATTGCTTTAGGAATATGCGAATGTGCACACTTCAGTGGCTTGTCTCGAAGTGATTTCTGGCTAACCATGCAGTATGATAATACTCAGCACTAGAGTCTGTGAGACTATAAATAGCCATCGCACTTGCAATTCTCTACACATCTATCAACTATTACAGCCGTAGAAAATCTGTTGCTGACGATTCTGAATATCAGTAATATTTAGCTTTTTGGTTATTACAGCAGCTTTAGAAATTACGTTCGTTTTATTTTTTAAATTGCTTTGTCATTAACTGTACCGTTAGGAGCGGCATCTTATGGTTTAGTACAAATAATATCTCTGAAACATTTGCGTTAGGCAAGAACATTATACTAGCAGCGGTTTCATTTCACTTTTACAAGGTTCTTAAAACAATTGTCGAGTTCCCTAACGTTCGTGTTTCTAAATTCAATTTATTGTTCCAGCTTTCTCTTATGTTTCGTAAAAATGTAGTCTTGATTATCCCGGTCTGTCAATCAGACGTAGAATGGTCTGTAGACTGGTTAAGCGAGACTAATTTCAAAACAAGGGTGCGTAACCTATTTTTTACTCACAAGTGTCCGGATGTTATGGCCGACACTCGTAACCATCTTTCAGTGTATTATTTATGGCTGGTTAAATGGTCATAGCTTATTAAGTACAACATGACTGTTTATTTAATGGCTATAAATGTGCGAAACTGATTTAAGGCTTAGTGTATATATAAATACTGTGGTGTAATTGTCGAGATATTTGGAGATATGTATTTATGGTGGGTCACTCTACGTATACGCCATAGTTTACATGACGTAGAGTGATCAACATCTGGGTGTTTTACTGTCGGGCCCGATCACAGGTTCCAAGTGTATGAATTAATAAATACTTAATGGGGCATTATGGGAGATTAGATAATGGACTGACAGTTAAAGAAGAGTTTTAAAAAAAGACAACGTGAAGAGAATATGCCGAAAATTTCAGTCAAATTGCTCCACTCTGAACCGAGATATTAGCGATTGAATTTTAGGCCTAGTCTCGATTATCATTACTAAATGTATTCAAATCCAGTAAATATCGCAGACTAGTGATGCGATCGAGAGTTGATTATGGTCTGGATAAGTTAATTAATGTCTAATTAATAATTTAAATACCGTTTCGGGCCTAAAGAAAGACCTGCAATGGGCAGATTTAGCTCGGGCATAATGTATGTTTAGCAAACTGTATACTTTTATGCTCGTTTAATAGTCTATAGTCTATGACCTACTCGTATTCCCATTTCCAACTGTGAGTAGTCATTAAAGATGCATTATGTAAGATTTAGATAAAGAGCTGACAGTTGTCGCTATAATAGTTAAAAATAGATTATAAAAGGGGGTATGTTTAATTTTTTTTGTCAAATTACTTCATTCTGGGCTTAGTAAGAATGCTTGGAGAATAGCGGAATCACGATTGTTATTGATTATCCAATCCTTTTTAAATCTGTAGAAAATCAGAACCATCTGACGACTTAAAGAGTTGGTTATGGTCTTGTCATGTTAATAAATGTCTAATTAATAATTTATATAACATTTATATAAGATCTAAAGAAAGACCTGCAATAGGAAGATTTATCTCTTGAATAATGCACCTTTAAAGTGCTGTTACACATGACCTCGTTGTTTTGTTCCATACGACCGTGTAGACGGGTATTCTTGCCAGGCTCCAACCTGCACCACTGACTACTCTACCGGACGTTTAATTCCCCCAGTCTTCGCACAACCGTTAGTCATTAGTTCAACACATAAGAAGCGCTCCTTACGCAACTCGAGCTGACATGATTAAATAACTATCCTATAAATATTTTCTTTAAGTGAAATGCCTCAACAAATATGTAAAATAAAATTATATTTTGTTTGTATTTGAATATCTAATGTAGTTTGTACAAAACCGTTTCATGTTAATGTATGCTCTAATAAGTTTATTTAAAGATACATTATGGGAGATTAGATAAAGAGCTGGCAGTTCTCACTATAATGATTACAAACTAGATAATGTAAAGGGAATTGAACCGAGATTTTAGCGATTCCATGAATGGAAGTCGAACAGCAAATCGGAATCGAATCCAATAAACATCACAGGCTAGCGATGACATCGAGAGTTGATTATGGTCTGGGTAAGTTAATTAATGTCTAATTGATAATTTAGATAACATTTCAGGCCTAAAGAAAGACCTGCAATAGGCAGATTTAGCTCTTGCATAATGTATGCTTAAGTCAACACACTTCAGATTTTAAAACTCTAAAGACAAATATGATACCGGGCTTTTGATTTAAATAATTGTCCACAACGGTTCTGGATATTTTTTCCCAAGCGCCACTTTTAACATATTTATCCATTAAAGGCTCCAAACGATCAGTGTATTCTTTCGTTAGACGAAATATATATTCAGGAACACTTATACACACATATCCACCTGCGAATAGAAACATGAAAACCTTACTGAAAATAGTCACAATTCGATATTCTTTGAGCAATGGCAACCCGTGTTTAAATCCCGTACTCTCGTGGCAATGGAAACAAAACTTTAAATTCGATATTCTTAGACCAATGACAACCCACTGTTAAATTCGATATTTTCGGGACAATGGAAACAAACCTTAAATTTGATATTCTCGGGGCAATGACAACAAACTGTTAAATTGGATATTCTCGGGGCAATGGCAACAACTGTTAAATTCGATATTCTCGGGGGAATGGCAACAACTGTTAAATTCGATATATTTGGGGCAATGGCAACAAACGCTAATTGTTGCGCTTATTAGATTTGTATAGGAAATTTATTTTATACCTGGTTTTGCAACTCGAATCATTTCATTTAAAGCACAACATGGCATCAATCCTGGTGCAAATCCTCCACAACTAATCACACAATCATATTCATCTGAAAATTAATGTAAAGAATTAATCTATCTAATCTATCTTTTAAAGGTAAGTCCTCCACATTATAGAAGATGAATGAATGTAAATTATAACAGAATGTTTGGCATCCCAAGGGATTTTTTATGTAATCGTGTTACAGTGTAACAGTTACATGGTTGGGGTGGGTGTTGGTGTGGTCATTTCTGGGCGATTTTCGTCTTTTGATTTTTACTTATCGACGGTTCTAATCATAAATTAATATATCTGTTCAAACATCAATATTCTGTGAAAGAATTACATATCAATAAAATGCATGTTACATTCTGAAATTCACTGCACCATGATATCCAAAACCGTTTTTACTATATACCATCCAACCAAACTGAACCGTACGTGCTCCTGTTTTGGGATTTTCTACCTTTAAGGATAAAGTCGTATTGTATTGCAGAGAATCAATGCTGTCGGATCAATGAGGAAATGATCATTGGTGATTGGATATCGATGAGCGTATCCCAATTAATTACCTGTTTTTATATCTAATCGTCTTTCATCAACAAAATCTACCAAATACCTCCCATACAGGTTCTTCTCCATAGCAATTTTCTTTGATGCTGGACTTGGGTCGACCGCATCAATGTGTTTAAACGCCTGCTTTCTCAACTAAAATTAAATAGTATGTTGTAAGTTTTGTTCATGTAGGACAAATATACTCAATTATTTGCAGATGTATTTCTTGAAAAGAGGTGATTGACAAATTTGTTTACAGATCACTTATATATTTTTAGCTTATAGGTAAATGGATTTTGAGAACGCGGTCAACTCTTTTCGTTCCTATATATTTAGACAATTAGAAGTTTCATATTGTGGAAAATTATGAATACTTTATTTGAGTGCAAAGCCATTCTCCAGTTTCAAAAACCTGATTACTTCTACCACTCAGAGACATTAATTTTAAGGCTCAAAATGGGTGAGTGAGAGAGAGACAGAGAGACAGAGAGAGAGAGAGACGTCCACTCGACACAAACCAGGTCATTTAGGGACTAACATGTGGTTCAATCTTCTCCAATAATTGGATTGCGCGTAGGAGGAAACCGGAGGACCCGGAGAAAACCAACGAGGATGGACAGGCGACCCTACTCATTGTCACGTACAACCGGGGAATCGAAACCACGGCAGTTGACTCAATGACAGATCTTATGATACAGCGTGCACGTGCTAACCATTCGGCCATCCAACCCCCGTGCTTAGAACAAAACTCATGTAAAAATAGTTGGTACATTAAAATAGTACGTTTGACATTTGGCTTTATATCTTAAAGGTCAAATTTAATCGTCGGTTCTTTTCCAATACGTACTGTGCGGTACAAAAATGGATAAAATAGCAATTCACTAATTACCTCTATGGCCAATAGTCCATGACCAGCTGCTATATCTATCATTGTAATATTTTCTCTGTTATTAGGATATAAGTGTACTGCAGCATCAGCTGTCACTACTGGACCAGTATAGTTCAAGGCAGCAACGTCCTGTTGTAACAAGCAAACAGTGAGGCTGATGTCCCCCACCGCAATTCCAAAATAAACTGATGACACATATTAATTAATTGCACTTTTATATTTTTGAAAAGTATCGAGCAATCAAATTGATTATCTCTACTTAGTCTAAACAGAGGCTTTGAAGTACCTGGTAGTGAAAGTATACACTAAATTTCATCACTCCCCATCAGTTAGAATCGAAGTCATCTTGTCTCAAAGCATCGACCAATGAAATTGCTTAGCTATGCTTAGCTTTAGCAGAAAATGTTAATTGTTGTATCTCAATTAAAAGCAGAGTTGTTATGTTCCAAAGTCTGGACCAATCAAACTGCTTACCTCTGTTAGCCTAAGAAGAAAATACCCATCTTCGAACTCCATCATAAACACCTACACCAAGTTTGTTTGCACATTCTAGCTCAATTCGAAGGAAAGTTATCATGTCCCCAAAAATGTGACATGCAGACAGAGAGGCGGGCGGATCCATTTTAATAGTCCCCTGCTTTCCTCGAATAAAGAAGTCATTTTACCAAAGATATATTCATATTCCCTTATAATATACATTTTAAAATTTCTATCGAAGAACGCTAAAAGTAGTAAAAGGCGCGTTCTTGGAAACCACGGGACAGCAGATTTTTTTACGGAATAGCTAATAGCATGAATTCAGACATCTGCCGGGTCTGGTGTATTCTTTGCCAATAACAATCACAGGAACCAGTGCTCCTTGTTTAAATCCAAGTGTGTATTTAATCATTTGAAATGAAATGAAATGAAATGAAATGGGGTTTAACGTACTGCTGTTTCCACACTAACGGTCTAATGAAAACGGGAATATGCCATGGAGTATGCGATATGGGACATTTTCACCAGAAAGCGGCGTTCGTTTTAGTCTACTCTTCATTGAATTCTAATTGTCATGTGTATTTTACAGGAGGAAATCAGACTGAACAATCCATAGGAATTTTATCAGCAAACAATAGGATTGAACCCTGGACCTCGGCCTGGTCTATACCTGAGTCAGTGGCATACACAATGAGACACTTTATCATTTGAACTTTTAGATGTAGTACTTCTGTACATTTTGACCTTTGGAAGTATACGCAGGTTTTTTCCACGGTTTTGGAAGAATAGAAACCCTAGGGCAACATGTATTATTGCTTACCGTGTCATAAGCCCCGGTTTCAACCCATTTATCAAAAGTATTAGCTACTTGTTCTTTGGTCATTTTCTCACGCACTGCAACTGCATCCATATATTTCATATCCTCTCCTTCCCTCTTGTAAAACTCCTTAAAATCAGACTCTTTTGAAATTTGACTGGTCATTTTGAAACTATTTCTGACTGTGAATAAAAACACAATATATTACAGTATTGACAAAAGTTTAATATTTGAAATTTTACCTTTCATATACAGTTATAATGTTTTAGTGGACTCGACAATTTTTATATACATGTATCACGTTTGGTTTTGAAATGCAGATCTTGAAGGACGGTTCGTCGAATATTAACCTTCTTATACCTAATGTCCCTTTAAGTAATTTCGTATAATTGTGGAGATGTTTCAATCCTGCAGCAACCGGTAATAAGTCGACTGAAATTTTTGTCATTAAATCTTACAAGTGATCATTACTCGAAACTGATGTTTTGTATGTATAGAAAGTGGTTAGAAATTAGACGATAGTCATTAATTAACAGGTGTGTAAACAAGCTTTAAAAAGATATCAAAACTAGTTAGAAGCCTAACTATTAAAAACACCTATACATATTGAAATGAAATGAAACGAAATGAGGTTTAACGTCCTACTGTTCTGCTCCGAGTCCGACTGGGATAATGAAGGAGGACTATCACTATTGAATACACAAACATAACGGGGGGTTGGATGGCCGAATGGTTAGCACGTGCGCGCTGTATCATAAGGTCTGTCATTGTGTCAATTGACATGGTTTCGATTCCCCGGTTGTATGAGACAAGGAGTAGGGTCGCCTGTCCAATCTCGTGGGTTTTCTCCGGATCCTCCGGTTTCCTCCCACTGCTAAAGACCCCTACGCGCAAGCGAATTATTGTAATAAAATTCAACCATGTGTTAGTCCCGAAATGACATAGTTTGTGTGGAGTGGACGTTAAACCCCATTTCATCTCATCTCTCTCTCTCTCTCTCTCTCTCTCTCTCTCTCTCTCTCTCCCTCTCACACACACACCTAACCAATAGTGGTGTATATCATTCTATAGTAACGACTTTAACACCCTAGTGACAAAACAATGACTTTTGGTAATTAACAATTTTAACTAATAAACATTATGTATATAGAATGACAATCTGATTAAAATGTGCAGAACTATATTTCGTTTCGTTTTTTATACTTTTGATGGCCTATACTACAAGATCTGACCGGTTGTAGTGGAAGGTCGTGTCAGGGGTCATACGAGTGGCTTTTGGCCCTATGACGTTAGACATTGATTAATCAATCACCCTTAACGTTTCTAGTGGTTTACCCACAGTTCCGTGCACCGCACGCCAAGAACCCGATGTAACAGATCGTTTCATTGGCTAATCCCTCACATCAACCAGAACGTAGGTTATACAACTACTCTTCCAGATCCTAGTGTTGTGAAGACAAGTAAAACGAAATTTTTAACTATAAAAAATTAAACGAAATCGGATCTGTGTTTTAATCAGATTGATAAAATGACGGCTTTCATTTGTTTGCGGCAAATCTTTTCATTTATAAAGGTTGTTTGGTTCATATGTCAGAAACAATGGGCATAGACCTACATATTCTGCACACAGGGATGCATTTACTTCATACGTCGAGAATAGATCTCTGCTCTAAATGGCGGTCATATCCAAAAATTACTATACTGTTTTGTAATGCGATTCTACTCCGTTTCACATACAAACTAAATAAACTTTTTCAACTTCATTAAATGGAAGCAGAATAAATACTTCTCACAATTTGCGAAGTATACTTAGTGTTTCGACTATATTTAGGACTTAAAATTTCTGTCAACTAGCTTCGTGCCTTTTCTAAAGCGGATCTTACTGTAGACAGGTAGCCTAAGTTTAGTATGAGACCTACATACAGAGAAAAGTTCATTGTAGGCTTACAACATGATATCAAACTTATCTTCTATCAAAAGCTTTCATTCACTAAAACTGTCCTTTGGTTAAAATAGTCCCAGTGTTTTTATTACATAAATTTCCCTGATAAGATATTGGATAAAGGGATCAATATTCATTAATTCATTCACTGTACATTTGTAATACTTTATATACTAGGCTCAGACAAAAAGACAAATACCGTCGGCTACTGGACAGACAAAAACAGACCAACAAGACAGACAAAAAAAGTTATGATTACTGAATTGGAGCAAACTACTAAATCCACACTGTGTCGTTAATGATTTTTCCGAAGCTATCTAGATAAAACAATGAACACTGATAAATAACTGTCTATAATTATACTCCCTAAGATCCTGGTAAATAAAATAGGAGCATTTTGAACTCATTATGACGACTGCAACTACAAGAGTGTATATAACAATAAAATTGAAACGTTTGAAAAATAATTGATTTAAAATGTCTGCAATATCACGCTCGGTGGAAGCGGACGCAAAACACTAATAGAAGAAGATGGGTCCCGATCACATATCTACTAATTCAAGGCCCCAAACCTTTTATACTTTACATGTTGATTAAATATTTGCTAGCTCCTGGGCAATATCAAAGTACTGCCTCCAGAGAGTCATTTTTCTCTAGCAGGTATATTAAAAGGTGACGAGAGTAGTGTATATTCATTCGAAATATCCGAGTTGTTCATATATTGTTACGGTGAAAGTAGAATTACAGAACATTCAACTCCATTTCAATCCCAGGCCACCGAGACCTGCTGTTGAATAAAAACTATCATATAATCAAAAAACGTTTAATACATCATTTATAATGTAGATTGTATTTGTGCTGCATGGTTCATTGAAAAAATAATATTATTACAACTATTATAGTTATAAATAGTATAAGTATTGATTATACGTTACCTGGTTTTAACTAAATTGAGCACACTCGTTGCTTAGCTTCAACAAATACTAATATGCTTATGTAGGTAAGTATCACTGAAGTCATTGACACGAATTATACTGCTGGAAAACTTTAACATAAATAACACCACATTGCACTACTTATTATTACCGTGGGTCGTTTGAAATTTTCCCAACAGCCATGACCTTTTATAGGATTGAAACATCCTTTGAGGACAGAAATGAAATGAAATGAAATGGGGTTTAACGTCCTACTGTTCTGCTCCTATACTGGGCTAATGAAGACGGGCATACGCCATACAGTGTGCTATGAGGGAAATTTTGCCCGGGCAGCGGCACTATCGCCTACTCTTATATCGAATTCCAACTGCCAAGGGATCTTTTACGTGCATTCCAATGTATACACGGTTTTTCGTATCATCTGAAAAACTAGACAGCTGTCCTTGTCAGGCCCTCCGTTCTGCACCACTGACAAGGGGAAACCACGTCGGAAAATCCAGATGAACTTTCTCGGCCAATGCAGGGATCGAACACCCGACCTCCAGGCTAGCGAGCCAGCGTCTTAACCACCTAGCCACTTGAGGACAGAATACAATATACAACGTATTAGATACAAGTACACAAAATATGGACAGGCACAAATTCAGAACATTCGCACATATACAGTATAAAACCCACACACTGGGTACATAGTATGAGATTTATGGAAATACAAAACAAAACATACAAAGTATAAAATGACATAACACACAGTATAAAACCCACACACAGGGTGCATATATGAAAATACAAAACAAAACATACAAAGCATAAAACCACATAAACAGACAGTATAAAACCTACATACAGGGTACATAATAATATGAAAACACAAAACAAAATATCATGCCTATTTAACATATGAGTTGTCTCTCCACAAAAAAGAGAAGTAAACACAGCCCTGCGGCTATAAACTCGGGTGATTGAAGAGATTTTTAAATGAAGAGGCTAGACCAATATTTTCAAGGATTAGATATCTGATATTGTTTTCTCAAATCTTCATATTTTTGGCAATCCATTAGAAAATGTTGTTCTAACAAAATAACCCCCCCCCCCCGCGCCTGAAACTGTTGCCCCTATCTCTACCGTTTGCCTACTAAAGGTTAGACCCGATGATATCCTTTGAATACACTATCGAGAACCCCCAACATCAGTTTGTTCAAAGTTGGTTATGTACTGTAACACCAGAACAACATCAGGTGTGCAAGCGAGTGGCGGTAAAAATAATTGGGAAATAGTATTGAAGCGGGGTGGGGGGGGGCATGTCTTAGTTCCTTTAGGAACGGTCTCAGGTGACAGGATATCGTACAACCAGGGACCGTTACTAACGGAATTAAGGGCGAGGGGTGGGGGTATATACATTTCTCTTTTACACCAAAACTTGGTATTTTCCATGAGCCCGTTGTTCAAACCTTCGGTAACTTTTGAACGACTCGTTAAATCAACATTGACGTTGTTATCTTACCGTGAAAAGGGTGCTTTCGAGCGCCATTTGTAATGAAGCAACTCGATGAACGATGCTAACCATATTCCACAGGAGAATCCTACCGATGTAGAATGGTTTAACCAGGCGCCAAATACTGTCATTCAATTTGGACTCTTCGCGTATTTCGAAAAACATAACTGATTAAATTTACAGTCAAAGCAGAAACGATTGAATGTAAATCAGGTTATATACATTCATATTACATTATTATATTATTACATTCATTCTGATTAAATACAGATCCTATTTCGTTTCGTTTTTTATAGTTCAAAATTTCGTTTTGCTTGTCTTTACTCATGTAGTAGAAGCCATCGAAAGTATAAAGATGGGTTGTCAGGCAACGAAACATACGCCAGCAGCAGCTAAATCGTCCGAAATTCGACAAATGTGGTCGCATATTTATTCCTTTGTAGTAATTGGGGACCTTTACAAGACAGTTCCATACAGATCAGATTATAATTTTTGTCGTTTGCGGATTCACAAGGTTCTCAAGGGCATCAACTCTGGAAGTAGTCTACAGAAATTTTTGGAATTTGACAGGCTTTTTCGTTTTACTAATTTAAATAATGCATATAAATTTCATACAGAATGGATGATCACTTTTGACATTCAAACGTTCACAAAGTTCACAAAGTAAAACAAGGGCCATAACTCTAGACATTATTGGCGGAAATTGCTGAAATTCAATAGATCTGTTTCACAAATTTAAATGATGCATATATATCTTATACATATCGGATGATAACTTTCATCAATCGAGCATTAACAAGGTTGCACTAATTTTAATAATACATATAAATTTCACAAAGATTGGATGATAACTTTCGTCATTAGAACGTTCTCAAAATGCAGCAAAGTGAAACAAGGGACATAACTCTAGAAGTAATAAACGGAAATTGCTGAAATTCAATAGGATTCTTCTGTTTACTAATTTAAATGACGCATGTAAATTTCATAAAGATCGGCAGATCAGTTTTGATGTAAGAGCATTCCCAATGTGCAACAAAGTGAAACAAGAGTCATAACTCTAGAGGTAATTGACAGAAATTGCTGAAATTCAACAAGCTTCTTCGTTTCTCTAATTTAAATCATGCATATAAATTTCACAAAGATCGGGTGATAACTTTTGGCGTAAGAGCGTTCACAAGATTCAATAAAGTGAAACAAGGGCCATAACTCTAGACGTAATAAAGAGAAATTGCTGAAATTCAATAGGCTTCTTCGTTTCACTAATTCAAATAATGCATATAAATTTCAGAAAGATCGGATGATAACTTTTGACGTTAGAGCCAAATAATGCATATAAATTTCACCTGGATCGGGTGATAACTTTTGGCGTAATAGCGTTCACAAGGTCCAACAAAGTGAAGCAAGGGCCATATCTCTAGACGTAATGAACAGAAATTATTGAAATTAAATAGGATTCTTCATCTCACTAATGTAAACCACATATATCAATCGGATAATAACTTGTGGACGACGTACGGACGGACGGACCGACAGACGGACGGATGGACGGACAGGGGAGACGGCAATATACGTCCACATTTCCATGTCGGCGTATATAAAAAAAAAGAAACGAAATATAGATCTGTATTTTAATAAGAAGTCGTTAACTTGCCGTGTTGAGCTCCGTTATTGGTTTAACGATGCCATCAGTCGGCTGTCAGTCAAAGTATAGCCCTGGGCCTTTGCAAAAAGTCGTTAGTATACCAGTGTAGTTTTCCATATAATTCTATAGCACATTCTAGATATGGGAGGGGGTTACTATCTCATTTTCTATTAGGATGAAACTATATATAGTATTCTACAGTTTCTGTAATGCAAATCCTATAGTTTTTCCTACAGATTTATTTTAAACAAGCCAACAGTGGGGCTGATGTCCCCCGCCGAAATCCCAGAATAAATAGATGATACATTTTAATTCATCGCACATTTATTTTTTTCAAAAGTATCAAGCAATCAAACTGATTATCAACTATACACTAAGTTTCATCCCTCTCTATCAGATAGAATCAAAGTTGTCTTGTCCTAAAACATTGACCAATGAAATTGCTTAGCTCTGCTTAACTTAAGCTCAAAATGTTAATCATTCAACTCAGTCAAGACATTCACCTAATGAACAACTATGTTCCAAAGTCTTGACTAATCAAATTGTTTTTCTCTCCTTAGCCTAAGCAGAAAATTCTCATCATCGAACTTAGTCAAGGTAATGATATAATGAATCTATACTCGGAGTTTTATCACTCTCACTTAATTATAACCAAAGTTATCGTGTCCCAAAGCATCAACTTATCAGATTGCTTATCTCAGCTTACCGTAAGCAGACAAAGTTTATCATCGAACTAGATCAAGGCATTCACCTAATGAACGCCTACACTAAGTTTGAACAGTCTACCTCAATTAGAAGGAGAGTTACTGTGTTCCAAAGTCTCGGCCAATCAAATTGCTTATCGCTCTGCTTACCCTGAGCAGAAAGTGCTCATTATCGAACTTAGTCAAGGTATTAACGTGACAAAACTAAATCCCAAGTGTCCTCACTCTCATTAAATTAGAACTAAAGTTATCGTGTCCCAAAGCATCAACCAATAAAATTGCTTATCTCTTTTTACCTATAAGAAGAAAATTCTCATCTTCAAACTCCATCAAGGCATTGACCTAATAAACACCTGCACCAAGTTTGAACATTCTAGTTCAATTAGAAGGAATGTTATCTTCGAACTCCATCAAGGCATTCACCTAATAAACACCTACGCCAAGTGTGAACATTCTAGCTCAATTAGAATTAGAGTTATTGTGTTCCAAAGTCTCGACCAATCAAATTGCTTATCGCTCTGCTTATCCTAAGCAGAAAATGCTCATTATCGAACTTAGTCAAGGTATTGATGTAATAAAACTATACACCAAATTTCATCACTCACACCTAATTAGAACTAAAGTTATTGTGTCCCAAAGCATCGACCAATCACATTGCTTATCTCTGCTTACCTACCCAGAAAAAGTTCATCTTCCAACACCATCAAGGCATTGACCTAATAAACACCTACACCAAGTTTAAACATTCTACCTCAATTTGAAAGAAAGTTATTGTGTTCCAAAGTCTCGGCCAATCAAATTGCTTATAGCTCTGCTTACCCTGAGCAGAAAATGCTCATTATCGAACTTAATCAAGATATTGATATAATGAAACTATCCACCAAGTTTCATCACTCTCACTTAATTAGAACTAAACACCTACACCAAGTTTGAACATTCTAGCTCAATTAGAAGGAGAGTGTCCCAAAAAGTGTGACGGACAGACAGACAGACGAACCGACGGACAAGACAGACAGACAGACGAACCCATTTTAATAGTCTCCTGCTTTCTTCGAAAGGCGGGGGACAAAAATTCATAGTCAGGGGCTGATCCAGGAATTTTTGTACGAGGGGGTTTGCCAGGCTTCTTTTAAGGAAATTTGACAATTGACAATGCATGAAGCCATCATCATCTCTAAATTACGCCTTTTAAAGAGAGAAATCCAACACTCCGTTTGGTGTCAGTTTTTATAATGAATTAATACATCACATTGTGATTCAATTTCATTGATGCAAAGCATTAATTGTGATTTATCACACATGTCTATATCATGTCGATGACATCGTCCGATCAGAGAGAGTTTTTACTGTAATTTCTAATCAATTACGCAGAGTTCAAATTGAATGGCAGTCTTTGGCATTTGGTTATTCCAGTCTACATCGGTATTATTCTCTTGGGGAAATATATACTTTGTTTAAGATGTTCTAGTCTGGATAATATATTATTTTGTTAAAGATGTTCTAGTCTGGATAATAGATACTTTGTTAAAGATGTTCTAGTCTGGATAATTGGTGCTTTATTTAAGAAGTTCTAGTCTGGATCATAGATACTTTGTTAAAGTGTTTTCTGAATAATATATACTGTGTTGAAGATGTTCAAGTTCGGGGGGGGGGGGGAATAAATCAAGTGGCATCTTGCTATTATTTATTTTACTGTTTTAATCTGGTAGTAGAATATCGATATAAAACTTAGACCAGCTAACAAAATCATTAATTCACACATGAAACGAGAAGTGAAATAAAATAAATACTTTATTGGGACAAAACGCTTGGCTGGCATTGACCTCTCTCTCGTGTAATAACATTCAAGGAAATTTACCCAGTAGTGGCTTCTTGTTAATTAGTCATGATGGAAAATATCGAACTAAATGATATGTGTAGTTGTTTGTATCTAGATAAGATATTATTTATTCATTGACCCAATTATTTGTCGAGTATTTTGTGAACTGAAAATATTGAAATGCTGAAGTAGAATAAATGAGCATGGCCTGATGTGTGCACTATGCTCCACTACTATAGCTAGTCCAAAACCTTAAACTCTTTCTATGAGTGTCAACTATCCAAATAAAATCACTACCAAAAAGGGTCCTAGAATGGGACAGACATTTCGGAATATACTGTAAATTGGGTGGATTTTAATGGACTGGAAGCTAATCTTGGATCAAATGTCTGGCAGCATGCATAAGGGCTCATAGTCTTCCCAAACAAGCCAATCAGTGATGTCAGTCTTGCTTAAGAGGTCCCATAAACATTGAACAGATATGATAACACCATGTAAATGCTAAAATCACTAAACTAACAATTGCAGATCACTTTTAATATCAATTTACAATAATAAGAATCATTTCCATTGTTCCCTTATTTTGCCTGATGGTCAATTCAGGGCTGCTTAAAATGTAAGTAATTTAATCCCTCATATATGGGTCAAATGATAGATTAGATAGACATACAGGTAGGAAATTACTTATGTCCAGTGTATAGAAATAAATAAGACAAACCACTGAGTTTATGATATGTGATATTTATTTAGACTTATTTATTTTAGGCACTAGGATGACAATTAGTTCTTCTGTTTTTGTAGCTAATGAAAATGTCTTAAAAACTGTTTTCCTCTAAAATAAAAGATAATATAGGAAATTCACAGAAGATGCCGATAATATCATAAAATGTATAATTAATGACAGTCAACCACAGAATAATGACCAAAACAAATGAAAATACATAAAATATATCTTGATATATCAAGACATAAGTAAATATATATAATTATAAAACAAACATAAGTAAAAATAGCATACAAAGTATGTAATAATGTAAGTTTGTTCATGAAATCTATAATAGAGATTTTCATCTTATAATAAAGATAGAATAAATGAATTGTAAAGTTAAAGAGTTTGTCCTTAAAATTTCGGTTTATCAGATTGAGATATCACTCTAGTTCGACCCAGTAAAATAAAAGTAGATGTCAGCACATTTTATACAATAAAATACCCAAACATTCTTTTTATTTACAATGTATATTTTAGGGGGTAGGATATTAAACAAAATGACAAGATATACTGAGTTAAAATATATATTATATGCACATGTTATCTATATGAATAACTCATAATAATAATATTAATAATAATAAACATTCATTTACAATCTGTTATTTACATTCATATAGAAGTATATTATATTTGTTTATGTATATAGGACAATGGTTTTACCTATATTACCACTTATTTTAACAAAACTCCTATTGAATTAATCGCAGATACAAATTTTAGCCCTATGCTCAATTAGTAAAGATATTGAATATTAACTAAATTCTGCATTAAAAAGGTACTATTTACTACTAATACATTAAGATAACTATAACTGAATAAGTACTATTTAATTCAGAAACTAATTAACCCATGAACATTTACTAAGAAAACAAAGGGCTTTATAAGTTTAAAGACATACCATACTGACCAAACTGATGGAAGAACAATATGCAATGAATGATTTATTATACAATGATTTTATAAACATAATATTCAAGTACAAAAATGCTTAATAAAGGCTGTAAAATTATTCGGTTAATAAACTCTTTTTTTTTTATTTTACGAAATGACTCTTTAATTTAGTTTGAAACTTTGCCAGTTAATGTAGCTTTTATATATTTCCAATGAGGAAAGCAATTATTAATTATTTTCTAGATAATAAGAAAATTTATTAGAGTAAACAAAAATTTGACCAACTGTTTAATTGCTTAAATCACAATAAAACTTACATCCTTATTTGTAGACCTCTTTCCAAAACTCCATATGCAGCTTTCTATTTATTTATGGCTTGCACAAAATCTGATAATGACTCAGAATTTATCTGATAAGTTATAAAACATTGAATTGAAACACAATCATTTTGCTGATAATTTTTACCACAACTCTGAAACAAGACTGACAGTGTTTGGAAATGAGTTCTTTATTTTTAAAATAAAAATCAAACAATAGGATTTTAAAAATGTTCAAAATATAAAAGTGTATAAAGCCATGATCATGTACCTATAGGTATCAACATAAGCCCTTATTGCACATCATACAATACAATATAAATAAATGAAACCTATGGTACAGAACATGTTAAAAAAGATGTCAAAATTAAATTGTGTCAAAAATTGATTGATGAATACAAAATATTAAATTGATGATGCCAGTTAATAAATAAGACAAATGCCATTACTAGATTCTAAGTGAATGAAAACCATTTTAGTACAGCCTATGCTAAACTATGATACATTGTTTGAGATGACTGCTAACATGTAAATATTACATAAAAGTTTGATTTTGTTCATACATTTAAGTACGATGATGGACAAGTGAGTGAGGTAAAAATTGCCAAAAAAAAAGTAAACCCCCAGATAAAAATTATCCAATGCAAAATAAAATAAAGCAGATAATTAGTATCATAAATTAAATTTTGATTTTTGGAAGACTAGAGTTGATGAAATTGTTAATATTTAAATAATAATTAAATTTGACATTAATATTATTTTCATATGGTAGAACCTTTGGATATTTAGAATTAAACAGTTATCTTTCTTAAAGTGTCATAAAATATTGTATATATCTATCAGGGCTGTAACGTTACACTTATTAAAAAAAATTGTAACTATTTCTTTTTGCGAACAGATATTCAAAATTCAAATAAAATGTAAGATAAATTTATTTTGTATACGAGCGTAGAAAACATAATCAGATCACCAAATATGTTTGAGCTGTATTTATTCGTAATGATAATAAATAAATAATTAAATCCTTCAAAAAATAATTTCAAGATCACAATACAGTAAAACCCATGTTTTCTTTTCTTCCTGAACAGAGAATGGTTAATTATGGTTACAGCCCTAGTAATTGTATTTAATAATGGCTATATACATCATATTATAAAGACATTTGTACAACAACAATGTACACTATATTTAGGATTCAGTGGGGTCAGTTTCTTCTTTGTACACACAATAATAAACAGTCTACAATGTCATATTTAATTGACGTCATGTAATCAGAACTGTCATTCACCTACTGTAGCATTCAAAAAACAATGAACGCATCTTTACTCCAACTGACGACTATGTAAGGTTTTAAAGCACCAGTTTTTATTGAGAATTAAAAACAATGTCCATGTTATTTGGCTTCTTGAGTTGATTTCTCTTTTAAACTTTCACTATCTTATATCTTCAATCATATTTTACTCAACTGTAAAAAGTTCAAACTCGTGTGTCCATTTCACATCACATGCAAACAACTGATGCTTAAACAATCTGAGCATCAGATGCTTTGAGAAAATCTGTTTTAATCAGTGTTTCCTTTGTTAGTTTATCATAAAATGTGACAAAAATTACAAAACAATTGATGCCACTCAAATAAAAAGACACACAGTGATGACAGATGTTTCAACACTGCACCAACGTTTCAGCACATTATGTATCAATGAAATGCCAATATAACACTGCTTGCAATAGATCAGATCTGATTGCTTGGCTAGCACTCAAATTCTTGCTGTGTTATTGCATTTAAGTCCTTCATTAAACCTTCTAAGTTAGCCATTTCTGCAGTTAATTCTTCGGTGCTTAAGGATTTCTGAAAAATAGAGTTATGGCATTATCTATAATTTGCATTCAAGACTAATTGAAAGAAGTGGTGTAAGACTTATAACTGTGAAACTTTGCAGTGTTAGGGACTGTAATATTTACGATGTTAGAAGGGTCATCTTTCAATGTTAAATATTGCATAGCCAAATGAGTGGGGTGGGCTGGATTTATTTTTCAAGGATATCTAAGTAACTTTTTGTCTGTTCAAAATGTTGTGGGATTTTTTATCTAAAATTGCAATTGATCCTCAAAACGAATTTATCTTTCAGTCCAAATGACCAGATATTATTGTTTTTTTCATTATCTTGGCATTACCCTTGATAAGCTGGAACCAGGATTGAAAAATCGAAAAGGTTCTTCTCTACCCCTGCAGGGATATAAACAATGAACATTCTAGCTGTGACTGTGATCATTTAGCCCCACAGCTACCACAGCTCAAACGATTTAAGTCAAAATGAAATACCTGTAAGTCATTTTCTTCTTTGTTTGCTTTCAGTGTGACATCAGGTGCTTTAGACATTAATGGTATTGGAGTTCGTGGTTTGATAGGCCCACTAGAAATAGGTGGAGTCGGTTTTTTATATGGACTTAAATTCTGCTGGGGTTTGACTGTAATACAAAACAAATGTTCAGTTAGAATAATTAAAGAAAAAAAATGATAAAATTTTTGTTTCAGTATATTAAATGCAAAAGATTTATTGCGTTGAATATTAAATAAAACTTTTTCATAATAAAAATAAATGCTGATATTCTGTTACTGAAATTTATAGAGAAACAGTATGATTTGTTTTAAAAATAGAGAAAAGTCATGCCCACAAAATATGTACTGAGGAAAGATAAAAACGTGTATTGGGGAAACCCATGCCACATATAACTGAAGAATTAAAATAGTGCTTAATCTTTAAGAAATAAAGTATGTAATTAAGTTACAATCAAAAGAAGACGGTTTTAGGATAAAAATTGAAAAAAAAAAGATACTTAAACCGTAATATATTGTAAATAAAATCTCAAACAGCAAAACAAATAATTACTAATAAAGTTATTAATCAATGAATTAAAGGAAAAGGAATAGAAAACAATTGTAATCACTGATATCATCAAATGACCAACTTTTTTCAAAATGAACCAAAAAAAAGTATATTGAGGCAAAACATTAAGCTATGCAAAAAAATGGGAATGGGCTGCATGCCTGAAGCAGGATGACCTGTATACCTATATGTTTTGGAGTTGGCGTACCGGGAGTAATTTGCCCAGGGGGTCCTGGGATTGAAAAACTTTTCAGAGGGTGATCATGAGGTGGTCTTCCCATGATGCCTTTAGTAGGCTGATTAGGGTGTCCCCCATATTGATGTTGATCATATTGTTGATGATACTGAGATGGTGATGAGTCGGGTGACTGTGGGCCTAGAATCACAAGAAATAAAAGTTGTTGATTTTTTTTATATATATCTCTATGTTAGATATATCAAAAACAGACAGACACTACTTTTGACTACAGATCTATAGGATTCAAATGCTTCTAGGACTCTAGTCACTTATGGTTATAATTAAATGATGTTTTTTATGAGACAGCAAGCTGTATTCACATCTCAATCATCTTTTGTGGCATTCATTCATTCAACTTTATAGACAAACATAATCATTCCATTGTTTGACAGTCACATGCAACAATTAAAACTTTTTGATGGAGATAAGACATACTTGTATGTTTAGTGATGAAACCTTTGTAAAGTTTCCATTAAGTATGCAGAACAATTGTAACTAAACTCATGCTTATAGATCGATCATAGATATAAGTTAATAATATACATAATGTTTTGTTTCCATGAACAGAATATCAGCATCATCAACATACACAAGATTAACATTCATGTTGTTCTCGGCCATTATACATTATCATCAATAGCTTTCATAACAATTTTATCACTATACAAAAAGACTAAAAAAAGATGGCTATCAACTGTTTTAAAAAACATTTATACTGGCTATTTCCACAAGTTTCACAGTGATTGGATATCCAGATTTGGTTGAACTGAAGAAATTATGACTTTGTATTAATGACAGAAGGCTAACTTCAATTTGTAAGTTGATGCTACAGTAAAATGCCTCTTTTGATAGGCTGGAATCCACAGGTTTGAGATGTCAATCATTACGGAAAAATACAACAAAGCTTTGATTTCTGCTCCATAAAGCAATTATATATAATATATATATATATATATATATACACATACACACAAGGGCTGGCTGAAAAGTTCTAAGCCTATCTGTGAAAGACCTGTACAAAGTCAACCTTTTGCCAACCATGTTATAAGGCGTGAATGCTGGTCAGGAAGAAATCTTTTTCAGACACCCTAAAAAGGTCCTTCAAAGCTGACATGACCGGCTAGTTCCTTTTTCATTTTTGGAAACAATTCTCATCCATGGTTATAAATATGGTCAAAATATAATCAGGATCTGCTTCAAATTGTCACAGGACGTCAGGAATCTGGCATGTTTGTGATCCACAGTCAAGAGCTTTGGCACCTATCTTGCAGAAACTTTGGTCATTCCTAGCTCGTTGGTGATAATGTGCTCAACACTCTCATGAGAGATGCCCACATCACTAGCAATAAGTTGAGTGGTCAATTGTCGATCAGCCATCACCATGTCATGCACCCGGGTAATGTTTTCTTGAATGGTTACTGTTGAGGGCCTTCCAAGACTTGGGTCATCGTCAAGCTCTCTCTGTCATGCTTAAATTCCGCAGCCCACTTATTTACTATGGAAAAGGAAGGGGCATCATCCCCTAAAGAAGAGACCATGTCGGCAACTAGGCATATGTCTGTGTTAGGGTTAGTCCTTTTAGTTGCAGGTACTTGATGACTGCATTATAGCCAGTTTTGTCCATTTCTAGTGATTTCAATGGGTAGGTTTTACAAGATGATCTGGTACGAAGACAATAAAAACACTACAGTTGCAGTTCTTATGTCTATGATTCATTCACTGATTGTACTTGTTGGTGGCAAAAATTTGTTTCAACCCAATCGATCTCTCTATTTAAGGCTTTTCAGCCAGCCCTTGTGTATATATATATATATATATATATATATATATACTTATATTGCACAAAACAGTTGGAAGCCCAGTAAGGGGCCACAGTTATTAAAATGCATATACATGTATTAGCTTTACAAGCAAATGCATTCTAAGTATATTTGAATAGGCAAGATGAAAATATTTATAATGGGAATATAATAATCATAATAGGAAGGATAAGTTCCATGCAGTAAAGGTTATATTGGAACATTTGATTAAAACATAAAAAATACATGCCATAGCCTATTCTACTGGTGTAGGAATCATCAAAAACATCAGAGTAATGCACACATTCGTCATCAAGGCAACCCATTTTCACTGTGGACAAAAAAGGTTTTTAAGTCGTGCAATTAATAAACACAAAGGATTTCAATGAGATGTTAGTTTGAACAGACAAAATGACATTCAACACAAATTCAATTGCTAAAGATAGGTTGCCAGGCAACGAAACATACGCCCACAGCAGCAAAATCAGCCGAGCCGTCGACATGGGTTGTTGAATATTTATTCTTTTGTAGGTAATTGGGGGCATTTACAATACAATTTCATATAGATCAGAATATATTTTTTGTCGTTTGAGGGTTCACAAGATTCAACGAACTGAAAAAAGGGCCTTAACTCTGGAAGTAATTTACAGAAAATTTTGAAATTTGATATAAATTTCATCCAAATCGAATGATAACTTTGTCATTCAAACGTTCACAAGGTTCACAAAGCAAAACAAGGCCATAACTCTAGAAATAATTGCTGAAATTAATTCAATGACTTCTATTTCACCAATTTAAATGATGCATATAAATTTCATACATATCTGATGTAAACTTTCATCGATCGAGCATTAACAAGGTTGAACAAAGTGAAACAAGGGCCATAACTCGAGAAGTAATTATTGTAAATTGCTGAAATTCAATAGGCTTTGTGGTTTCACTAATCTAAATGATGCATATAAAATTCATACAGATTGGCATTAGAGTGTACACAAGGTTCAACAAAGTTAAACAAGGGCCATAACTCTAGAGGTAATTAACGGAAATTGCTGAAATTCAATTGCCCTCCTCGTTTCACTAATTTAAATAATGCATATAAATAAATAATGCAGATAACTTTAGATGTCAGAGGTTCACAAAGTGCAACAAAGTGAAACAAGGGCCATAACTGTAGAAGTAATAAAAGGAAATTGCTGAAATTCAACAGGATTCTTTTTTATACTAATTTAAATGACACATATCAATTTCATACAGATCGGCAGATAACTTTGATGTTAGAGCATTCACAAGGTGCAACAAAATGAAACAAGGACCATAACTCTAGACGTAATAAATGGAAATTATTGAAATTAAATAGGCTTCTACATCTCACTGATGTAAACAACATATATCAATTTTAAAACTGGATGATAAAATTTGGCGTTAGAGCGTTAACAAGAAATTGTGGACGATGGACCAGACGGACAGATGGGGGTGACGGCAATATACATCCACATTTCCATGTGGGCATATAAAAATTACAAAATTATTAATTCAAACTCAGCTGATAATATAAAATCAATAATTATCAAAATTTAGTTTAAAAATTAAATATTTTAGTTTGAACATGTTTTATTTTAGTTTGAAAGATGTAACATTTTAGTTTAGAACTCTAATGCTTAAAAGGTGGCAAAGATTTGAAATTTTATTTTAAAAAAAAGAAGAATTGGTACAGATAGATGGATTTTATAAAATAAAACATGCCAATTGTGGTTATAGATCAAGTTACAGAAGTTTCTATTATTCTTACTTGGTATATCACCAGCATTAACACGTGGTGTAGAAGAGTATTGGGTATTGTACTGAGTTCGTGGGTAGACTGGTCTCATTGGTATTCCAGGATTATCCATATGCATGTGACCATTTGGCACAGCAACTGCAATAGCTGTAACAGTAAAATGAATGAAATTCTAATGATTATTTTAAAGAATGGATGAATGAAATAAAGAGTTTATCATCCTACTATTCTGCACCAATCAGGATAATCAAGACCGGTTATTTAAAGAGGAAACAATCAGTTGATGTATATACTTCACCCCCACACAAACAAAACATAAATATACTCTTCAAAAAAAGTAGGGGATATTGAAATGCAAATACCTATACAGGTTGCAATATGATAAATAGTCATATTTATATGATAAATAGTCATAACTATGTCCACAGATGAAGAACTTATTGCCCCAACAGAATCACTGAGCTGCAAATGCGACACGCAATAGCGCCATAAACGTGGGAGGGGTACATTGTCAAATTTGACACTTCAAGGAAGGGTTGATGAAAACTGCCGTGTCCTGCTTTATCTATCCATATTTGCTTTCCTATCGGTTCTTGCATAAGATTTACTGTTTAGCGTATCTTTGCTTCAGTGTGTTACGTTCAATTTGATCGGGAAACAAGTTCGTCGAAGTCGACGTCAACGTCATATGCCAACACTGCAAGAATTGACCGTGGCACTGCAAGTTGAGTGGGTCAGATTGCCCCAAATCGTGATTGGACGGTTGATTAGGAGCATGCCACGATGAATTACTGAATGTCTGAGGATTGGTGGCGCAATTACTCATTATTAAGACGGTGTATCTCTTTGCGAGTGAAATGGGGCCGTCAGAGTATATAAAATCTGCCCCGTTCACATCATAAAATATTTCAGATATACTTGTTTTAATCTTTAAGAAGTTTAACGTCCTACTGTTCTGCTCTGAACTAGGCTAATGAGGACGGGCATACGCCATACAGTGTGCTATGAGGGAAATTTTGCCCAGACAGACAGCCTACTCTTATATCAAATTTCAACTGTCAAGGGATCTTTTATGCGCATGCCAATGTGTACACGGGACCTTCGTTTTTTGTCCCATCCGAACGACTTGACAAGGGGGAAACAATCCGGAAAATCTGGATGAACTTTCTTGGCCAATGCAGGCTAGCGAGCCAGCGTCATACCCACTTACCCACAGTGACCCCTTAATATTTTAGAAGAACTTTTTTTAATACGTAGGAAGAACTTGTTTTAATACTTTAAAAGAACTTGTTTTAATACTTTAAAAGAACTTGTTTTAATACTTTAAAAGAACTTCTTTTAATACTTTAAAAGAACTTGTTTTAATACTTTAAAAGAACTTCTTTTAATACTTTAAAAGAACTTCTTTTAATACTTTAAAAGAACTTCTTTTAATACTTCTAAAGAACTTCTTTTAAAGAGGCGGATTGGACGGCCGAATTCTTAGCGTCTGCGTGCTGTATCATAAGGTCTGTCATTGAGTCTGGCACGGTTTCGATTCCCCTGTTTTACACTTGTCCAACCTCGTAGGTTTTCTTCGGGTCCTCCCACTGCTAAACCCCACTATGAGCAAGCAAATTAGTGAAATAAAATTGAAATATACATTAGTCCCGAAATGACCTAGTTTGTGTCTAGTGGACATTAAACCCCATTTCTCTCTATCTCCCTCTCTTTTAAAGAGGAAAGTTTAGAAGAATGTCTTTTAATCATTTTAAACAGTTTAATTTTTAGAATCTTAATTGAAATGGCTCATCAACACACAGATGTTAGTTTTAATAATATGTTAGTTTTAACAATAAACAACAATTACTTACGTTCTCTACCGTCAACAGGTATCATAATAGGTTTAGGACGGATAATATTACGTGGTTGTATAGGTTGGTATCTTTCTTCACCACTTGATGGATAACCACTTTCACCTAGAATATCAATTACAAATGTTTTAATAGTTTAAAATGCATAAAACATGAATATAAAGGGAGAAAACTGTTTATTGTACATGTATTTGTTGTGGACAAAAAGTAATTATTTTGCTTGATTTCATAATAGACAAATGTAGTTTATTTGTTAATAGAAATTCTCTTTTTTTCCTCCCTTCAGCATGGCAAATAAAAGAAACATATTTAAATTTACATCTTCTGGCGAGTTTTGATGAATAATCATGATTTTGAAGCGGAACAGTTTAGTTGGTAAACAGACATGAATTAAGGAAATCACCTACTAAAATGATGTCACAGACTATATATTCGTTTGACACCCTTCAATATTGCTATCAGATAATTGTGACATGCTGGACTGATTGTTGTTATAAAGATTAAGATCATCGAACGGTTAAAAAATTGTTATAGGTCATGGATTTAACCCAAGTCAATGGGGAGATAATTACTAGTCTGAGTCCTGATTTTATACCTGATTTGGTTTTATCAACCAAATACTAACAATTTCTTTAGCACTTTCATTCTAGTATGGAACTATAGGTGATATAAATGTGGATATGATTTATTACCGGTATAATATTTCTATTCCATGCATTATCTTCATATATTAATATGGATTCAACATACCAACAAAAGAGTTCCTTCTTCTGTCCATATCAATACATGGTGGTAAATCGTCTAATTTATCACATGAGCCACGAGAACCACGTCTTAATGTACTAGTAGCAACAGAAACATTAGATTCACTTCGCTGTTGTGATTTTTCCATTTTTCTCATCTCTAAAGCACTTGGCTGGTGTATCCACAGATCAGGAGGTTTCATATTTGGTTGACCACCTTTAATAGGCTTAGCTGGGGATTTATATCTGTGAATAAAATATTTGAGGTCAACGGGGCTTATCTACTTAAACATACATTATGCAAGAGCTAAATCTGTCTATTGCAGGTCTTTCTTTAGGCCTGAAATGTTATCTAAATTATTAATTAGATATTAATTAACTTATCCAGACCATAATCAACTCTAGATGGCATCGCTAGCCTGCGATCTTAAGTGGATTGTGAGCCGATTTACTGCATAACTTTCCTTCTCGATTAAACGATTAAATGGATAATCAAGACTATGCTGTTTATTGTACCGACTTTAGTAATGATGACCGAGGCTAGGCAGAAATTTCATTCGCTTAGTTCTCATTTCATAGTGGATCAATTTGAATGAAATTTTCAGCAAATTGCCTTTACGTTATCTAGTTTTTAATTATCATAGTGAGAACTGCCAACTCCTTATCGAATCTCCCATAATGTATCTTTAACCAGGCAATTAGAAGTTCATTTCAACAGAAATTCAAAAACTTCTGTAAACGAAACAGACAGACAATCACAAAATAAATTCTTAATGCCAGAACCTGTTTGGCTCAGTTGAAGTTAAAAATATAATAGTGCTTAATTAGTAAGCTTGCAATAAATAAATTAACAACTTTAAATGTCAACCGTAAGTTTTCCAAATGACTGTTCATTGTTGGCATATGAAACATTTTAGTGTTAAGCTATATTTTCTACACATCTATCGCTAATTGATGGTCATGCCTGTAATAGCAGGGATTTTTTAAAATCTGAAACTGAATGATTTTAGCAACATAACTATATCTAACCAATGAAATGAAATGAAATGAGGTTTAACGTCCTACTGCTCTGCTCCTAAACTGGGCTAATGAAGATGGGCATATGCCATTCAGTGTGCTATAAGGGAAATTTTGCCCGGGCAGCGGCGCTACAACCTACTCTTACATCAAATTCCAACTGCCAAGGGATCTTTTACGTGCACGCCAATATGTACACGGGACCTCGGTTTTTCGTTTCATCTGAATGACTAGACAGCTGTCCTTGTCAGGCCCTCCATCCTGCATCACTGACAAGGGGAAACCACGCCTGAAAATTTGGATGGACTTTCTCGGCCAATGCAGGGATGGACTAACCAATCAATGGTTATGTATTTGGCCTTTCGAAATGTTGCTGAAATATATCTATAATAGTAAGATGGTGCACACTTACGTTCGACTGTTTGCACTGGCAAGTCTTTCTCTTCTACGACAAAGAATAACAGTAACAACAGCAATAACTATACAGAATGTGACACCAACAACACAAGCGATAATAATAATAATCATATTGACAGGTAAAGCTTCTTCTTCTTTCTGTATACTCTCTTCTGTCTTCATTGCTAGAATGAAATACATTCATTAATATATAAATATTCATTGAGCAGACTATTGTTGATTAAATATTTTGATTATTCAAATCAAATGAATTGCTTAATTTAGTTTGAATGATTTCGCATCTATGCTTTCAAAATAGTATATTGCAAAAAACTTAAAGAAGTTAACTCTTAATTAATTTGGGTCAAAATAAAGTGTAATTTAAAGTACTTATAGTACAAGCTCTATACAATGAAATTTTGTTTGGAAAGATTAAGTGGAAGTAGATTTGTTATTAATGTAAGTTTCATTTCTGGTTGTCAACAACACAAGAAGATACAATTAAATTAATCTCAATGGACATAAAATCATGAACGAAGACAGATTGTTACCCCACAAAACAATAAATAGACAGTTTTAATGAGGTCTAGCAATGTCATGTCTCTGGTTTTAGCAGCAATATTAGCAGATAAAGATTTAATGTGAATAGACTTGATCAATATGAATACCTTTTGGTGTCTTGTGCATTACAATATCAGACATAGGACCATAGCCTTTACTGTTTCTAGCCTGTACTTTAAAATAATAGGTAGTGGATGGTGTTAATTCATTTATAACAGTAGATAGTTTATCACCTACAACACCTTCAACAACCCAATCACGATCATCTTGTTTAGGATCAGTTGAATAAAATATTAGATAACCTGAAACCGAAACAAATTTTGTATTTTGATTGACCATTATATAAGCAATGAATATAAATGATCCATTTTGAGTGAAACTATTATTATCCATCTGTAAAGGGAGATAACAAAAATTTTACTATGGTAGATATGTATATATCTACATGCATTTCATATCATACTCTGTGTATTTTTACTTATCAACCTATATCAACCAGAAATTTCTGGTGTGGTTTAAATTTGTCATTGGAATTTTTTGTTGGGCATTTAAAAGAACTTTTGACAGAATTCAAAATAAGGGCAACATTTCCCTCACAGCACACTGCATAGCATACACCCGTCTTCATTAGGCCAGATGGAGCAGAAATAAAGGATGTTAAACCCCATTTCATTTCTTCACTTATTGCTTACTATGGATTCTAAAGAATAAAGGGAAATTTGAAAAAAAAAAGATTTATGCACACTAAGTGGTTAACATTAACATCTTCAGTGCAGTTCAACAGTATTTGTGAGATGATGATCAGCCTTTAAACAATCACAATGGGCAAAATTAGACTTCAGCAAGTATCTGTAGGTTATATAAAATTGATATATACCTGTAATAAGACCATTAGGTCTAGCTGGTGGCTGCCAGTTTAATGTAACAGCCAGTGGGTTATTCTCATCAGGTACAGGAGTTAAATCACGAGGATCTGAGCCGGGTGCTGCTTCTTGTGTTGTATTAAAAATACTCATACTCAAAGGACTGTGCCGATTTCTCTTTGTAACTTTTACAGCAAATTCGTATTGTGTGTTGGGACGTAAATTATCAATATGAGCATTTAAATCTGTAGAATTCACATATTTATGGCGTCTGTTATGACTTGGTACAGGTGTATATCGTACAGTATAATATCGACTGTCTGTAATTTTCTGGCTTTTACCCAAAGAATTATCTGCCCATGTTAAAATGATTGTTGTAGGAGACAAAACGATAGCTTTTAATCCTATTGGTGGCATCATTGGCGTAGCTGGCTCAGACGCTGAAGAAAAAAAATCAGATTTGTAAATAAAATTAAGTAACATTATCTTCAGTATTAAAACAACAGACATTCTGGTTATTCACTAAAATAATTCAATAAATACTAATGAGGACCTTTTGTACGTACATATAATCAATAAAACATTCTTAAAGGAGTTAAACCTATTCGACCTAGGTATTGAATTAGGTAAACATGAGATATTGAATTAAGTTGATCTGATGTGATATTTCAATTTGTGGTGGAACAAGCTCTATTGGAAGATTAGGTGGAAATTAATGGCTTGTTTACTAATTTAAGTTTAAAGTTTGGCTTTCTGTGGCGACAGTGGAACAAATATTCAGTTATTACTCAACACTGGCTTTGTCTATTGACGTAAATCTTTCAATGAAGACAGATCGTCATATCAAATCAACATATAAAACCAATAGATGTCTAGTCAATTTAAAAAAAACTCTCGATAAATTCTCAATAAAAGATAGTCATAATCTATTTTATACTTACTAATTTTCTCACTGGTAAAAACGGTTTCATATCTACTCGGACCATGTCCAATTTTATTAAAAGCTTTGATAGTGATGACATACTCAGATATGGGCTCTGTAAATATACATTTACTTTTATTACATTAATGAAATGAAATGAAATTTAATATTGTATACATAAGGTAGTTCTATTTTCATTATCTATCGATATAGATGAAATTTTTCCAGTGCAAACAATGTCTCACTGCATAAAGGAACTTATTACGTGATATTTAAGTTTTATCATAACTGAGTAATTGTATATGAAACACTCTCAGCCCTCTACAACTACCTAATGCTGATTCTTTTTAATCCCAGCCCTTTCCAACTATCCGATGCTGATACTTTAATCCCAACCCTCTACAACTATCTGATGCTGATACTATAATACCATCCCAGCCCTCTACAACTATCTGATGTGATACTTTCATTCCAGCCCTTTACAACTATCTGGTGGTGATACTTTCATCCCAGACCTCTACAACTATCTGGTGGTGTATTTAAAACAAATACAATGCTAGTTTCCATCAGTGGTTGATCATAAATTCCGACATTCTATGTTATTTAATTTTCAGTTTCCATTTTGGTGTTTAATTTGCATACCGGTACTGAACAACAGATGCCCGGAGAAACTTGGGACTGTTCCTTTAAAGAGCAATGAAAGGTCTTTTCAATCCTAATATAATATTCAACACAATCAATGTGATCTCGATCAACAACATAATAAACTTACCCAAATTTTCTATGGTATAATCATGTGTATTGGCATCTAACATAATCTGTTCATTATCTGGTATACCTTTACCAAAACCCAATACGTAGCCTCGTACTAATACTTTAGAATTAGGGGGAGGAGGAGCCCATGTTACAATAATAGAATTAGATTTGGGTTTAGCTTGTAATCTGGCTGGTTTAGGTGGAACTTTAGATTCTGAAATAAACAGAAATGTAATCATTTCAAATCCAATATGCCTATCTTTTCAATATCTATCAATAGCTAAGAAAACTATCCCAAGAAATATTAATGAAACAGTTAACATATTTTTTGTTAATGTTATTCTCAAACTGTTGACTTCCTAAAAATACTACTTGATAACATACCATCTAAATCATCTCTATAAGTTGTAGCAAACTGCCACATAGTAGCAGGACCAGAACCATTTACTGTTAAAGCTGATATACGAACTTGGTATTCAGTACCCTTCTGTAACTCTACAAACATAACAATTTTTCATATTAGTGTCTAAAAATATTGACATGTATTATCAATAAGGTCATATTTGCTATTACAAAAACAAAATTGGAAATTACTTTAAATTACAATATAAAACAGAAATAGCATTGCATGTTATATAAAAAGCAAGCCTACTTTTCCTAGTGCATGACATTGATCACTATTTTATAAACAAATGATGGGAACAATAGTTTGAGCTTGGGGTTTTAAAGCCAAAATCTATTTTACATATTTAGACATGTTTGATAGTTATTCAGATTCACAAAGAACTTCATCTATCAATAACATATAATTACTCCAAATATTGAAATTTCCAACTGAGTATTAAGTTTTATTTAATACAAACCTGTTAAAGCATAATTATTTCTATTTCCATCAGTTAATACAGGTTCACCTCTTCTATCACCTTTCTTCTTATATCTTATTTTATAACCTGTAATCTGGCCATTCTGTTTATCTTTAGGTGGTGGTTCCCATCGTACAATAATACGCTACAAATACAATAACAAATGTTAAAATATTACACAATAATACTACAAAATAATAATAATATGCTAAAAATACAATAACAAGTACATATATGGTAAAGTTACACTACAATTACAATAGGTAGCTTTACACAATAACACAAACATTAAAATAAAACATAAAGTTAGATCATCATACACTACAATAATTAATGTTAAAATAGTACAAAGCTACACAATAATACACTACCTAAAAATGTAATCACCATTTTTTAAAAATACAGTCAGGAATGACAATTTTAAATGACAATTTTACACATCAATTAATTAAAGAAGCATTATGTAAGAGCTAAATCTATTTTTATTTTGGCTTAAAAAAGGTATATAAACTATCATTTAGACATTTATTCAAGCCTATATTCAACACTTGAGATCATCATATAGTGAAATTAAAATGGATTAAAACATGGTTCACCATTTAATGATTTAATTTAAAAAGTGCGAAAGGAGGCCAAGTCTCAAACAAGCCAACAGTGAGGCTGACGTCCCCCGACTAAATCAAAAAAAAAAAACAGATGACACATATTAATTAATTGCACATTTACCTTTTTCAAAAGTATTGAGTAATCAAACTGATTATCTATGCTTAGTCTAAGCATAAAATGTTCACGACTAAACTCAGGTTTTGAAGTACCTGGTAGTGAGTGAAACTCCATCAGTTAGAATTAATTAAAAGCAGAATTGTTATGTTCCAAATTCTTGACCAATCAAATTGCTTATTGCTACTTTACTAAGCAGATAATTCTCATCACCAAACTATGTCAAGGCATTCTGTAATAGACACCTACGCCAATTTTGAAAATTCTACCTCAATTAGAAGGAAGGCTATTGTCTGGACCAATCAGATTGAAGTCTTTACTTTGCCTAAGCAGAAAATGCTCAGCATCAACCTTTGTTAAGGTATTGATGTAATAAAACTATGCACGAAGTTTCACTACTATCACTCAATTAGAATCAAAGTTGTCGAGCTCCAAACTCTCAACCAATGAAATTGCTTATCACTTTGATTACCCTGAGCCGAAAAAGCTCTCATGATCAAACTTAGTCAAGGTATTGATGTGATGAAACTATACTCAGAGTTTCATCCCTCTGACTTAATTAGTCTCACAAGTTATCTTGTCCCAAAGTCTCAACCAATCAAATTGCTAATCACTCTGATTACCCTGAGCAGAAAATGCTCATTATCAAACTTAGTCAAGGTATTGATGTAATGAAACTATACACTAAATTTCATCACTCTCACTTAATTAGAACTAAAGTTATCGTGCCCCAAAGCATCAACCAATCAAATTCAATATCTCTGCTTACCTTCAGCAGAAAATGCTCATTTTCGAACTCCATCAAGGCATTGACCTAATAAACACCTACACCAATTCTAGTTCAATTAGAAGGAATGTTATTTTGTCCCAAAAAGTGTGACTGACGGACCAACAGACAGATGGATGAATAGTCCCCTGCTTTCTTTGAAAGGCGGGGGACGATAAGAAGTAGGCTACTATTTTTAGTATAATAAACAATCCATGCCACATCTTGTCAAAACTTCAAACAATGATAACTTAGCTCAGAATCAACTAATTTGAATAAAATTTTCAATATTTTCATTTTGTTTTATCTATTTTTGTACTATTTTAAATCTAACATAATACATCTTTTATGTTTGCATTGGAATAATTCTTTGAACATTGATAGAGTTATCTCCCATTAGGCAAATTCGATTCATTATCTGTCAACAACATATTTAGCTTTAAAGTTAGTATGAAATCTGGTTACTCGACTTATTGAAAACTTCACAGAAAAGTTTTATGTTTTCGGAAGAGGCAAAACTTACCGTGGCACTAGAAACTTCCAATGTAAAATTTTGTGGAACATCACTTGGTCTGTCTGAAAATGTTCTGGCAACAATTTCAATGGTACTGGCACCAGGTCCATTTTCATTATGTGTAACAACCCTGAAGCTGTATTCAGTGTATTTCTTAAGATTGCGCAATTCAAATCCAGTACCCTGTATATTTTCTTCTTCTTCACCACCACTGGAGCCAACTTCATAATAAATCAATACATATTTAGTGATTTTTCCCTTAGAATCTACAGGAGCATCCCAGCGAACATGGATAGCTGTTGGAGACATGGGTACTGCTGTAAGATTTACTGGTGGTGTTGGTACCAATGCTGAAAAAAAAATCACATCATTTCTCAATTATACATGTATATATATAAATAACACTCTAATAGAAGTAGCAGCCTTTTTGTCTTCCACTTTTTATTGTGAAAATGACAGAAAACATAAAGTATGTTTTTATTTTATTCAACAAAACATGATTAAATTAAATAAATAGATTGTCTTTTTCATAATTAATTATTGTAACAGAAAGATTTAATGGAAATACATAAATTTTGTTCTCAAATTAATTACTGGAATATATTTTGGTTCAGGAATTTCCATTAAAAACGTTAATCACTGATTATTAATGTTCTACAATCAATGACAAAGTAATTTTATCTGGAAATCTCTGATACTGATTTATTTTTTGCAGTAGGTGTTCTGGAGATCTGATACCACATTCTAATTTAAGAAAAGATTAATACCTTCTTGATCAGTCTTAACATTAATCTTAGCATCTGTTATACTTGGACCATGTTTATTATAAGCTCGAACTCGGAACTCATATTGTGTATAAGGTTTCAGATGCTGAATATTAGCTTCTGTAGTGGTAGTATTTGTGACTCTTTCTCTGTGAAAATACAACAATAAATAACCTTAAAATTATACAAAAATTATACAAAAACTAACTGGTACTCAGTAGATTATAGACATTGTTTACACATGACATTAATTAATGTAACCAAATGTTATGGAAGAATATCATACTTTTCATTCTAACATGTATTTGTCCCAAAAAAAACCCAAACATAATTTAAAATTTGATTCATACATTGTATACAAGCATTTATCTCTACTGTACTTCCATAAATTTAAGTATTATTATGTACCTTTCGGATCCCTTCTCTCTCCAGAACACCGAATAGGCTTTTATCTCTGATGTACCTACACGATCAGGTTGGTTCCAAGATAAGGTCACAAATCGTGTAGACACTAGTACGGCTCGTAGATGAGTTGGTGCTGACAGCTGGTTCTTGGCATCCATGTACAGCGCCCCTGTATCGAATCGGTGGGGGAACTGAGGAGGTGTAGTGGGGAGGGGGACATCTGGGGTTTAAAAGAAATTAAAAAACATATAGCAAGCCAAATAAAGCACTACTGAGAGACCATTTTGGTTCACTTTAAGAATCAAAATTCATGATTCAATTTTGATATTTTGATTTGTTTTCTGATTGAAAACAATAGAATACTGGTAACTCAAATTCCGAAATATAAAATTTAGTGAACAAAGCAAGTCCCGTGAAATAAAACGGGTTTAACGTGACTAAGCATAAATTCAAACAGCTTGGTGTCAAAAAGCTGAAAATGAAATCTGTAAACATTAAAATAGACGAAAGAAAGAAAATGAGGACAGGTGTCAATAAACCACGAAAAAATTCACCAATAATAACTATAAAACCACTTCACAAAATATTAGGGTAGGTTTCTACAAACACATAATACAACCACTGTATTCACATATGACAAGTACATGTATACAAATTACAGTGTGAACACTAAACATGACGACTATGTGATGAGTAATTAATTATCTTTACATCTAAAATATCTATAAAAGTTATTGTGCTGACTTTAAACTTATAATGTGCTCTGTTCATTTCAAACACTTGTCACTACATGATGGACAGGATTTAAATCAGAAAAGGCAGAAATATTGGTTGTCTCATTTATCCAGTTTGTAGCTGTTGTTTGTTGCTTATTCAAGAATAAACTAAGTAAATATTTTCATTACAGTTAGGAATATATCCTTAATTTGTCGGGACCATCTAAGAATTCAATTTTTGAGGAGTTTCTATTCAAGAATATAATTATTTAATGTAATCCATTACTAATAAATATATTGGTCAAAATCATCTAATTTGATTATAACTAAGATGATCAGTTTTGATAATGAAATGATAATTTTGTTAAGTAAAAGATTAATAATCATGATAACAAATTCGTGGTGAACAGTCTAACATGCAAATACGTGTTCACAATTGACCAAATAACAATAGGGTTTAACAAGGGGTAGATTGAACTTAAAAATAATATTACAAAAAAAACTTGTAAGAAAACAAAAAAACTTAATGGGGATTAATTTAGATGTTCCCTCCTCATGTTTTGGGGCCATATTTTTATATTTCAGAAAATATATCATAAAAAAATGTATTTAAGAAAAGATTTAGATTAAATATATCATATCATCAACAATATTTCGAAACCTGATCCTCTCATTATTCATTTCATTTAAATTGATTCAATGTCCTCTTTGTGACAATTTTCAATTTCTTTTCTTTTATATTATATTTTACCGAATTCAATTCGTTTTACTTAACATTTGACAAATTTTATCATTTATGTCATGTTCTTATTTGTGTACTCTAAACAGCCAATGAAAACACTCCTGTTCCAATCATGTAAAGTCCACTGATCTATTTATAAACTCACTGAAGTCTTGTGCATAACAGCTAAAGCTGACATGATCTAAACAGGACTCATACCGAATACATGTTAGATTGTATGTAGTGTAGAGAATTTGAATCGTAGACACGACACATATTAAAGACATAATTTTATTAGATAGTGTTCTTGTGATTTAATATATTGACGGTAGTTCCTTATATTATAATAGCAGTGAGATATTAATTATAATTTGTCTTATTAATATACCTTGTTCCAATATGACCAACTGGGAACTAGCTTGAACATAGCCTAACTCATTAGAACCAAAACATTGATAAATTCCATTGTCTTCTTCCATCAAACCTAAGATTTTCAGATTTTTCTCATCAACAATTTGAAAATAATCCGAAGGGTTGATTGGTTGACCATCTTTCATCCAGGATATCATTGGTTTGGGTTCTCCATAAATATCACATTTGAGAGTGACATCTGAGTTGGTATGAGCAAAAACATTACTTGGTTTACTAACAAACTGAGGAGGCACTGAAAATAAGAAAGCAGTTTTATTAGAAAGGGTAATTTTTGAAAAAAATCAATCAGAAAGTAAACACAATGATGCATTAGATGACAGAAACTGATCATTAGAAAGTAAATGACAGAAACTGATTATTAGAAAGTAAACAAAATAATGCACCTGATGACATGAACTGATCATTAGGAAATAAACATAATAATGCACCAGATTATAGATACTGATCACTAATTTTTTAAATTTCAATATTTTCTTTTCTTTCAAAGTCATCATCAGCCTCCAAAACCACACAAATCAACCTTATTCCCCCTTTCAGTTTTGAAGTAACCAATATTTGATACATTAAATGAGGAAGAGACTGGTTTAACCGGTAGTCAAGTGAAGATTCTATATGAAAGTTAGCCAATATACGAAACCAAATTACATGCTTGAAATTTCAACTCCAACGCAGATTGACATCTTTTATTCAGTGCTGTGAAGTAAGTATTTCATGCTGAAGTTAACAAATCAACCTTTTTAGTTTCCCCGACTTTCAATATTCTCGTTTTGTAATGAGCAAATCATGTACATTACATGTAGCTATCATACAGAAATAGTCATTACTTTGATCATATGGATAAATATGGCTTGAATTAAAGTCGATAAGATGCATATACATTGAAAATAAATTGCAAATGATAATCAACATTGCTGATATATCTCATAAGGGCATTGGAAGGGTAATGGAACTATTGATCATGAATAAAATCTGGCTGTAAAAAATATGATGGGTTCCATGCTGGCTCCTGAGATTAGATTATAACTCACCTAAAACAATAAGTTCAGCACCAGCATCTACAGAATCTTCAGAATTCGATGCCCGACATGTATAAGTACCCTTATCTGATTCTATGACGCTTTTTATCATTAATGTCCCAACACCTATTTTACGTACACGATCTGTCGCAGACCTGGAAGTAAAAATAAATTCTTTACTAAAAAATATAAACAACCAATGTTTCAAACTGATGCAGCAACTCAAAGAAAGATCGAAACCTTGGGAGATGTGGGTGGAGTGGCCATTTTATCAAGCCTCGCTTAAATTACATGAAAAAATAACGAAATATGTACAAGAAAGTACGAATAACTTGTTTCCAGTCAGTGTTGGTTGGAGTTTGGGACGGGGAATGCGTGCAGGAAGTTTTCCCTTTTTGAGTTGATTCTCCCGGAGACTGGTGGATAGGTGCTTGGTCATCAATTACATGTACTATGATTCAATTCTATAACAAACTTGTATGCAAACATTGGAGGAGAGTTTGATTTTGCAAATATTTATAATTATTATCCTACATTATTTGAAGTAGCAAGAATTTTGGTTCTTTCTTATAAAAATGATTTGGGATTGCTTTCAAATAATCATCAATAAATTTCTGGAGCATCTTTTATTGCAAGTTTTCACAATTATTATTCCTTTTTGCCATTAAATACTGAATTATAACCATGTGTTGTGCATTAAACAGTCTACATTAACTCCATGAAAAATACACCTAATGCAAAAAAAAAGCTATTAAAAATAGACATGTATTGTATATAATTCACACAATCAGAAATCGGGAGAATATTTAGTTTAGCTTAACTTCACCTTCTAGTGAATAGATAAACATTCATGTTCTATTTTTTGTCTCCGAAATGGTGTATTTATCAAGAAAACACCAGGAATAGGATGTATTGCCATAAAAATACTTGTGTAAATTATGTACAACTTTGTTCTGGAAAACTCATTCCTGATATACATCATAATTATAATACCAGCTTTCACAATAAAAGAAATAATACAAAAAACAAAATCAAGATTAAATAAAGAAAATTTTCTTAGTGAAATAAAAAAAAAGATCTAGGGTAGGAAGGTATTTTTTTTCACTGATGCCTGAAGATTGTAATGTGTAAAAAATATTAGCACAAATATCAAGTACAAAATATTTACTTGAAACTACATCCTACCTAAAAGTAATGCTTCTGCCATCTTTTAACCATGTAATTTCAGGCGGCTGAGACATAAAATCTCGGCCATTTGCTCCACAATGTAAATACACCGTGGAGCCAAATACAGCTCTTTTATCTGTTGGTTTCATTACAAATTTAGGTTCGTCAAATGGTCTCTGAGCTACATCTGTATAAGAGAAGTACATCAATAAAAAAGAAAGTAAATTTAATGTATAACATAAGATTCAATTGTTATGACCAGAATTCTTTAATTAAATCAGTTTATAAGTCTAGAGGATTTAGTTTTCCATTTAAATCTAAGCTGCACATATTTCTTGTCCCCCCTCCCCCCATTTTTGTTTTCTCATTTTTTTAAGCAATCATATTCTTTCAACATCAGACTTTAATTTATCTTAATTCTAGGAAAGGCAAATAGATATGGTGAATAGTAATACAATCTCAAGATATTTTTTAGAACAGTGATTACCTACACCAACAATGATAAACAATAATGAAAAAAATATTTTAGAACTGTGTTATGGTAGGAACAAAACCTTCTGGAACCTTTCTTACCTTTGTCTTCTTGATTTAATGTTGCAGATGCACTAACTCTAGATCCTTCACTATTTGTAACACGACACATATACTGTCCAATATTGGATATTTCAACAGAACTAATTTCTAATACTCCATCTGGGTAAATCTGAATGTTATATTTTTCATTCACACGTTCATTGTTTTTAAACCATTCAGTTTTAGTATCTGGTTTGCCATCAATTTGACAGGCAAACATGGCTGTATCTGTGAGGTAGAGAGTTAAATCCTGAGGTTCTTTTTCAAAAGTTTGCTCTAAATCTGAAAATAGCAACACAATTCATATATTAGATAATTCAAAAATCCCTGCTCAACTGAAGTACAAACTGAGTTATAGTTTAATCTAATGATGTTTTGGGTCTCACAATCCTTTTTCAAATATTAGGTATTTGTTGAATGATTATACAGTGATCGATAATAATTAAAACAATACTATAACTTACATGCTATCTGTAAGTGAGCTGTACGACTAACAATTGTACCCAGATTAACAACTTCACCAACACATTGATAAAAGCCTTCATCTGAACTCTGAACAACTTTTTGGAAATACAGTGATCCATCTGGCAATTTTTTTCTGCAATGGAAAAATAAAATATATACTCTGTCATACATTCAAATTGGCCAGTACAAAACCAGCATTCAATTGTTCATACCTGCCAAAGCCGTCATCATTCAATTCTTTAAATATAACTGACAATATTAACTTTTTTTTAAAGTCCAATTACAACATGTATGAAATAAGCTCTGAATGCATTGCCCAAAGACATTTCTTTTACAGGAAAACAAATATTTGATTTTTATTATTATCGAACTCCTTACAATCATCTTAGCAATAAACTTACTACTGTCAAGCCAAATATTAATATAGTTAAAAGCAGTATATGCTTTAAAGGGCCCAAACTCTGGAATTCGTTGCCAGCCCCTTTAAAAACTTTAAATAACCTGAATCTTTTCAGGACAAAACTTCTTCTTTACCTTAAAGCTTATCTCTTATGATATGTGTTCTCCATATTATAAGTATGTACATATTGTATATTTGTTAATACATGTTATATCTATATGTATTCAAATGTTCTGTTATATGATCTGCATAAACATGTACTTATATTAATCTTTTAATTGATTTGTATATTAATTTTTTTTCCTCTGTTGTAAATTATTGTGATGTGTTGTTTAATTTATTAGCTATATCTTTTGGTATTATATTTTCTACGAAGGGCAGGATGTTAGAAAGGCTATCATAGCCTAATCTTCAACCCTTCTTAAATAAAGTCATTATTATTATTATTATTATTTCAATAAATTTCACCAATATTGCTAAATCCCCAGCATTTTGAAGATATGCCGAACTAGACAATCAGCAATGGTGCCCGAGTGAAATATTATAGTATACAAGCTCAAATTGTGTAAAAACTATAAAATGGTCACCATTTACCACTTAGTAAATGGAATATAAATGTTTTCTTCAGTAATTCTATAATGGCTTGTGATATTTTAAGAATTCTCAACAAGCATTTTAAGTCTTGACATAAATTACTCAGTATATTGTTTGTTTCAGCAAATAAACAAATATTAAAACAGCAAAAACAAATTAAGATTTATGTCTTCCGACGAACATATAAACAGAAATTCTATTTAAAACATAGCATACAATAACCCAGACATTAAAACTCTCGAGTCCTAACTTTTATGTATTTTGACTTACTATTGTAGGGCAGTTAATGTTACAATCTTGTTATTACTAATTACTGACCAAAACCATTATTTAAGGAACATAATATAGTAATTATCAAATAGTTAATATACTATACTTTTAGATGTAAATCCATGCAATACATACTAAGCACAACTAGAAATATATCTATTTATAATCTCCCAAATATTTAGATTTTTAATTGTACCGTTTTGGAGTTTTACCACTGGGGATTCGAGACTATAATATAACCTTCCACTCAGTCGACCTGTCTACTCTTACTATGTAACTTAATCAAAAATTGCACAAAACGCAAGTTTTGGGATTTTTGCAAAGACACATTTCATGCAACCAAATGATGGAAAGGGCAAGACATGCTCTACAAGGAAGTAATAATATCAGAATCACCTGAGGTCATTTGACAGCAATTGGTGCAGTGTTTTAATTAAGTATGCATGCTGCATCTCATTACAAAGTAAATCCCTCGAGGTGATCAGGTAAGCCTCTGTGGACCACCCTATAAAGTATGTTTGTATTGGACAAAAGTCATACAAGCACTGAATAGTGTAATGATTTTCTTGCAAAACTAACTTACCTTCTTTGTCCGTCAATCTGTAATGCGACTCCATTTTTTCTCCAATGAATTTCCAGGGTTGAGTCTCCATGATATATTGCAGAACAATTTAACGTAGCTGGTTGACCAACTTTAGCAACAACATTTGATGGTTCAGTTTTAAAAGAAAATTGACTAAAGTGAGGTGTGTTACCTGAAAAATAAAAAGAAATCATTCAATACCAAGCCTGATTTAATATCAAGTAAAGTTATTAGCCTGGTTAGTGCAGAAAAGTAGGATATTAAACCCCTTTTCATTTTATTTTCTCTCCTTTAGAAGTGACATTATTTATATTCATATATACTTTACTGAAACCATTTAGATACCAACAAATCATTTTTTTTTATTAAAAGAACAACGTATGCATATTCATCTTATTATAATTTTAAGCTAAAAACTAAAATAACTGTAAAATGTTGGGCAAAAAAGGATAATTATATAAGGTATTCATATTTCTTATTACTGACACAAGGATACATTAATCAATTTTTTAATTTCCCTGATTTACCTCCCCTTCATGACAGTTGTATACCAAATGACATTCCTTTTCTGATAAGATGTTAAATTACTGAATAAAAATCTGTAGTTGCAATTCTAACATTAGCTCACTTTTATTTTATAAGACACCTGTGTTTTCTCTCTATTTTATCATCTTATCTCTTCTATAATTTAATTAAAAAGATTAGTATACACTAATCTATTACTGTTTGTGTCACAGTTGATGACAATATTTCAACAGGTGCACAAGTAAAATAAGCCAAAAGAACTGAAGGTGTTTTTGTATGGTATTTTATATTGTAATTCTATCTAAATTTATCAATCTTATCTCTGTCCATCATTATCCTTTTCATTTAACTATGAAATTAAGAAATAAACTCTTTAGTTTTTACCCAACTTCACATTCTGTAAATAGGTGTAGATCATGGTTAAACTTTATGCAAGACGAAGGGAATTTTGAGAAAATAAGACAAACTGATGGAAATGCCTTGGAGGTATTTAAATAATCTTATGTTACATGTATTCTAATCTCTGTATCTTTTTCTTTGCCATTATCTGACTTTGCCAGAAGGCCAGAATTATTACTAATGATGCCATATGTTGTGTATTTCAACAACCCTCTATGTGCATCACTGCCTAACTTTCTCGTTAAGATGAAAAAACTTATTCCCTCATTATTAAGTAATTAACACTTTTTAGTACACTTGCAAAACCTGTACTTGACTTCTAAGGATTATATTGTTAATAAAAATACTTTTATTTTATTGGATAGTAAACACGAGAATCATAAATTAAAGTACATGAAGTTTACAAATTTAGGGTAAGTAGTGTTTCAAGTCAAGTTAAATGATAAATTATGTTATAGAACTATTGAAAAATTTACAAACAACATAAAATCCCCTTCAAAACCATATCTAAGAAGAATTCGGTATAAGTTTTTATATTCATTTCAAGCTCCATCTCTACAGGATAATATTTGTTTCAAGGTTTACATGGGTCATAAGAAAAATTGTACACTCAGTTTCAACAAGAATGATGTCTTTTGGATATGCTGGTTACCACCTTAAAAACTCTGGTATTTGTTTTTGCTTCCTGCCATAAAACAAGTTGATGTATGAAAACATCCATATGGTTAGCATTACTGGGTAGTCAGTCCTATAGAAAAACATCAAAATCTGTCCGCTCTCAATGTTAGAATGTGAATTGGATTATGGGATAATTTGTCCAATTGGTTCTCGACCACCCAAGGTAACAAACACAATATAGTCAGTAGCAAATTTCTTACACATTTACACGCCTATTGGCATTTCTAATTTACTTGTTTATATAAAGTGAATAATATCAAGTTCGCTGCCAGTGAACACTGGAAATAGAATTGATCTTTTATCTATTATGGCATGTTATTTATATACAGTTTGAAATCACTCGCAGACTATTGGTATTATAGTGTATTTTATCCACATATATATGGAATTCACACAAGGACATACATGTAAATTTTGTTTGGGTCCAGGGGTGTTTAGTAAAAATAAGACCGACTGAAACTACATGAACCTTTGGCGTATATTGTGATATCCAATCAAAGCAATCATACGTACACACAGATATATTCATACGTATATTTGGGAGTTTTCCTTTCTATTTTGGCATTGTTTGTTTACCTCATTAATTCATTTAGTCGCCAATGTATTATTTTGAGACCGTGTGTGTGTTTGGACAGGGGAGGGGGGGGGGGCACACCCCCAAAGTTACACATCTGAATTCACATCACCCACACCATCATGCACGAAAGAGAACCTTAATTATAAAAAATTTCTTGTGTCTATTTTATGACACCGTTTGTCTATTTTATGACACCGTTTGGTAGCAAGAATATTCTTTAATGAATACATTTTAAGAAAATATTGTACCAGTGGATATTACTGTTCATTCTAATCCAGTTTTTATACAGCTCACACCATTCTAACCATAGCCTAGAGCCAATATTTGACAAGAACTGGCGCTCTACTGGCACCAAGACAATAGAAATCATGAAGTGACTACAGCTGTCATGTCAAATCATCAGCAGACAGTACTTCAGATCACCATGAGGATTATGTCTGCATATAAGAGTTTATCTGCTATACCAGTCAGCCGGTTCCTGTCTTATAATGAAATAAATATCAGGATATAATAAATAAATTCCTACCCATTTATTATACTCTAGGGTTTCTCAGTAATAGGTCTATCATACTGGATATAATAATTACCTACATACAGACATCCTGATATTTCTATTTTTTTAAATTTTTATAGAAGCAATATATACATGTAGACATGAAAGGTGCATTTCCAGTTTTCATTGGGTCTCACACAAAAACCCAATGTTTTAAGTATGCATATCCATTATCCAATCCCAAATGTGATGGAATAGATTAATATCTTGTTTGATCAAGCTGTTTGGAAATGATTGTCAAAACAATTTATAGGAGTTACTTAACTATAATCATTGATCTTAAATGCCAAGAGAGAAGCTGACATTAGTATTTCTTTGAAAAGATATCATAGGTACTTCTATACTGACACAGATTGAAAAGACACAATTTTATACATGGTTGATTGTACACTTTGATTTTGCAATTTGGAATGGAATGTAACAACATTATATCACAAAATAGAAATGTTGAAAATCACGATTTTATGGCCAGACAAGGGGCATGATATGTCTGTTAAAATGGAACCATGAGTAAACTCTTACTACAATTCTGTGGAAGATGCAACAATATGTGAAGACAAAGTGCAAGGCCGCCTTACTCTGGATCAATTCTTATTTAACTGCAAGGCCGCCTTACTCTGGATCAATCCTTATTCAACTGATATTTGGTTACTGACTTTTGATATTTAACCCATGTGCCTAAATTTCACTGTTAAGTAACATTGCTATGCCATCCATGGGTTGCTGTTGATTTTGCTTTATTTCCAAAGAGAAAGGAATATTGTTTCATTGTCTTCATTTCTAATTAGGGGAAATAATAAAAAGAAATTCTGTCTGAGAAAAATAAAGATTACAAATTTATCAAACTAATGATTCAAAGGTCTTCTCAACAATTAACAACAAATCTGAAATGTCACCACAATAATTTGCATTTTTATAAAATTTAATATAATGGAAAATTTATTAAAATGTATTGTTTAGGACAAAGATGGTGAAGAAAATACTGTTTTGTTTTTTTTAGCTAAATTGATTACAGAACCTATTCAATTTGGGCTAATCATTCTCATAATAGAACTTGATGTGATTAATATGTAACAAATTACCCTAGTATTTAAAATGTTGTTTCAAACCTTTTCATGTTTAAAATATAATTCTTATTCCTTTCCTGAACAATTTATGTATTTATAGAAGTAATCTTTTATCAGAGTCAAAACACCAGTTGGTACCTCCAAAATGATTGTCAGCATTAGCAGAAAGGTTGTTTGCATTAGGAGCTCCATTTGTATGGGACAGTATATCAGAACAAACAGATGCTAGTTCAATTTATTAAAATAGAGGTACACATGTTTATGTAATAAAAATTTAATAAAATTAAATTTCCTGTTTAACACTCTATATATACCTGTTTGTTTTTAAAATGTGTTTCAATTATATTTATTGTTGCTTTGAGAGTGTGTGTTATAGATCTTTCAGAAAAGGGCACAGTTTCTGATTATCAAGAGGTTCTAAGAGGGCCAAAATTTGCTTCCAAATAGGGCATCACAGATCCAAGTAACAAAGTTGTTAGAAAAAATGTCTGATTAATTAGGTGAACAGGTTTTGTTCTACATGCCTCTGTCTACTATCTCTTGTCAAAAGATAAAGGTGTTAGAACTACACTGTTGGCTAATTAAAGCACCTTACGCTTCAAATCATATTACACCATTACATGAGTATAGCTGCCAGCCAAACAAGACACAAATGTTTTATGAATCACTAGTGTACTTGTTTGAGTATGTAAGTAAGTATACTATCAAGATAACAGTTATTAATTTGCCTGAATAGGGTAAGGAGATCTGTTATCTTTTATCAGAAACAATAATTCAAGCTTGTTTACATTGAGATAGATCAGAGTTATGCATATTACCGGTCCATCTGCATACAGAAACGTGTTTCACCTGGGGTTCATAAAACTAATACTCAGAAATGCCAAGACTTGTACATCTTTCCTTAACTTTTAGCTAAAGCAACAAAGATAAATGTAAAGTTCTTTGTACCAGAATGTTTGAGCCTTCTTATATATTTTGGCGTCTGACCATGTGCCCGCTGCAATGGGAACACATTGAATGTATAATAAATGATGTTATAGCCGAGTAAAGTAAATACAAGACGATCTTTACAAGGCAATAGGCAAGATAACAAGTAGTTTACTCCAGACATATTTCTGCTCTCTTTCCAGGCTACACAGCTATTGATAGCCTACAATAATTTATTATATTATAAAAAAACTAGTTTAATTTTACTTATTCATTTAATACATACATCTATATGAGGATGATTACAGACTAGCTTTGAATATTGTGTCATTCAAGACACAGTTATTACAGTTAATAATTGCTTTCTTTAAAAAAAAAATTATAAATTATTTATAGGCATTTATTTTTTTGAATACGAATGGGTAATGTAATGATTTTGTTCATGA